GCAGAGGCCAGAAGAAGGTATGTAGCCATCTGTAGCTGGAGTTACAGGCAGCTGTGAGTCACCTGATGTGAGTGATGGGAATCAAACTCTAATCCTTTTGGGAGGCAGCATACACTCTTAACTGCCTACCTATCTCATTAGCCCCTAGGAAAAAATTTTTTTTCTTTTTTTTACAACAGCACTGTCCTATGTGGATGTTTAAATTTTCTTTTTTATTATTATTATTTATCTATTTATTTATTTATTTATTTTGTTTTTTGGAGACAGGGTTTCTCTGTGTAGCTTTGGAGCCTCTCCTGGATCTCACTCTGTAGCCCAGGCTGCCCTCGAACTCACAGAGATCCACCTGGCTCTGCCTCTCGAGTGCTGGGATTAAAGGTGTGCGCCACCACTGTCTAGTAGCTATGTTTAAGTGAAGGGGAAAATGAAATTAATTTTATTAGCATAATTTATTTAACCATAACTATCAAGACATCATTACACTAACATGTAATTGATGTAAAATTATTGAGATAATGTTTTCAGTACAAAAAATCTTTCAAGTACATTCCAGTGTATACCTTATATGAGTAGCATAATCAGATGCAAAGTCCTCACTGGAAATACTTAAACTATATTTAGATTTTTGCTTTATGAATAGTTTACTGAGCTGGGCGATGGTGGCACACCTCTAATCCCAGCACTCTCGACGCAGAGGCAGGTGGATCTCTGTGAATTTGAGGCCAGCCTGGTCTACAGAGTGAGTTCTAGGACAGCCAGAGCTACACAGAGAAAACGCTGTCTCGAAAAACAAACAAACGAAGAATAGCTTACTGAGGATACAAAGGAGAAGTTGGCTGGCAAAAGCTAGAATACTCCCTGCCTGACTTTGCTTTTAGTTACCAGAGTTTACAGTTGAAAAAGGAGGCTCACATATGGTATTTGTCCTAGACATAACTGAAAGTTTTCTGCAGTTTGACTCAAATATCAGTTTAAGTGGGTTAAAATTTAAAATTTGTAATGGGTATGGTGTGTATACCTTCAATCTCAGGACTGGGGAGGCGGAGATAGGCGGGTCTCCTGTGTGTTTGAGGCTAACCTGGTCTACATCGAAAGTTCCAGGCTACCCAGGGCTACATACATAGTAAAGCCCACTCTTAAAAAAAAAAATGAGGGATTAGCAAGACAGTTTAGTTTTTTTTTTTTTTAAAGATTTATTAATTATGTGTACAGTGCTCTGTCTGCATGTATCCCTGCAGGCCAGAAGAGTACACCAGATCTCATTACAGATGGTTGTGAGCCACCATGTGGTTGCTGGGAATTGAACTCAGGAACTCTGGAAGAGCAAGCAGTGCTCTTAACCTCTGAGCCATCTCTCCAGCCCGACAGTTTAGCTTTTAGAGCATACTGTTCTTCCCGAGGACCAGAGTTTGATTACTAGGACCCACAGGGTGGCTGCCCACTGCCTGCAACTCCAGCTCCAGGAGGATCTGACACCTCTGGCTTTCTGGACACACATAATTAACAACTAAAAATCTTACCTGGGAGATGGTGGCACCTTTAATCCCAGCACTTGGGAGGCAGAAGCCAGACAGATCTCTGTGAGTTCAAGGCCAGTCTCGTCTACATATTGAGTTCCAGGACAGCCAGAGCTACATAGTGAGACCCTGTCTTGAAAAAAAAAGAAAGAAAGGAAGAAAGAAAGAAAAAATACCCCCTCCCCGCAAAAATTAAAAATCTTTTTTTACCCAACAGAAGTTTTAAAAGTTAAAATTCCAGCACTCAGGAGGCAGAGGCAGGTGGATCTCTGTGAGTTCGAGGCCAGCCTGGGCTACAGAGTGAGTTCCAGGAAAGACGCAAAGCTACAGAGAAACCCTGTCTCGAAAAACAAACAAAACAAAACAAAAAAGTTAAAATTCAGTGTCTTGGTCACAGAAGTAAAATACATAGGATGGTTTATCTGATATATTTGGTGGTAGCCTTGATGGAGTTTGGTGTCCAGGGTTCCACTCTCTAGCACCTGGTTGTCCCTGGCAATACCTACTTCTATATATATGCCAGAAAGCCTCATATATAGTTAGAGCATCTTCACATTATGATTGTATTAGTTGTGGACCCTTGTGGAGGCAATCCTGTCCATTCCTCCTGTTTTGCTCAGGGAGACTGAGGCTCACAAGGATTAATTCACACAGTTCCAGCCACCCATGGTAGTGCCGGAGGTTCCCCTGCTGGATCCTAGACTAGCACTCTCACTTCTTCCTAGGACTGCATTCTGAGTCCTTCTCAAGGCTCCCAGGTGTGTCGTGTAAATACCAGCAGTGACTCCATGAGCGGAAGACAAGTTCTTTACCTCCCATTGCTGGTCCCTGGAGAGAAATGTGACGTCAAGACAACAAGCATGTGACTTGTGCTGTGTCTCACAGATCTTCAGGAGTAGCCTGTCTGTGGCAGAGTCCAGATACTACAGGCTTAGCCAACCTCTCTGTGTTTGGCTGTAGCCAAAGGGGGCAGATTGCAGCTGCCCCAGTAGCCTGGACCCAGCCACATTTTGTGGCTTGTAGCCACTGATAAGGCCTAAGTCCCAGTGCCTTGTCCCCAGGTAAGTGGAGGACAAAGCTCTCACTCAGGGTGACTGAAGAGGCCCCTGAGAAGTTCTCCCCACTCTGCCGCAGCTCTAGCTAATGAGAGCACAGAGCCTGAGCCTTATGCTCAGGACAATGGAGAGGGCTCTCTAAGCTCCTGCAGCACAGCTGTGCTTGGGCTGTTGTCTGCCCTCATGACCGAAGAGACATTGGAAATGCTTGAAAATGTATCTTTAGTCCCCCTTACATGCTCAAAACCCTTCACATGCACCCAACCTCATAAGGACTCATCCCTTGGTTTCAGGCAGACTGCACAGTCTACCTTTTCTATTAATTTCTCCGTTTAGCATGCAGCCCTCATGATCTGAGCATGCTGTTTCCCAGAAGGTTTCAAGAAAACTGGTTATGCAAGTGACATTTCCTGTTTACCCACATTTAATAATTAATGATTGAGGATGGTGCATTACAACCACAGTGTCTTAATGTCATTTGTTTGAGATGTTTTACCTTTGTGTGCCAGATAGTTGTGGCAGTCTATTCTATACATAGAGAATGGCACCAGGTTGTTAGCAGCAGCAGTCAACTATTCTCTTAAGTGAAAAATGGTTTTGAAGGTAAGCTGGGCTTTGTATCTCATGTATGCAATCCTAGCTAGCTGATGCAGAAAGATCACTATGAGTTCCAAGGCAACCTGGGCTAAAGCTGTTGACAAAAAAAAAAAGACAAGCGCCAGTTGTCATTCCTCTTGCATTGACAGCTCCTACATTTGTACTGCCAGCCGAACCACACCCCCAAACTTGTGTTCTACTGCCCAACATCTCTAGCTGTGTCACCATGCACTCCCCTAACTCAGCACAGCAGCATCCATCCTGTACTTTCTGTGGTATCCCTGCTCTCTAAATGGTCCCACCATGACTCAACTTATCCAGAATCTGGTTCTTCCTGACGACACCCCTTTTACTTATTTATTTAAAAATAGGATTTCACTATGTACCCCAAACTGGCCAAGGAATATGGATCCTCTTGTCAGTCTGTCAAGTGCTGTGGTTACAGATAGTATTTCCATGCCTGGGTTCTCTTTTCTTTTTTTTTTTTTTTTTTTTGGTTTTTCGAGACAGGGTTTCTCTGTGTAGCGCTGGTTGTCCTGGATCTCACTCTGTAGCCCAGGCTGGCCTTGAACTCACAAAGATCCGCCTGGCTCTGCCTCCCGAGTGCTGGGATTAAAGGTATGTGCCACCACCGTCCTGCGGGTTTCTCTTCTTAATTTCTTCCCTATAAGGTCCTGCAGGAAATGGTCCCCAGCTTGTTCTTTTGACCATCTGTCTGGATGTTGAGCCTTCTGGGCAATGCCATGCTCTCACTTATGTAGGCTTCCATAGTGTCTGTCGGCTCCTTCTCCACTGCGAATTTCTCAGCTATCCAGTGTTACTTACTGGAGAGCTGCACCAGGGAGGTCTGAGGACCATCTGGCAATTCTTTCTGCTACCTCAGTAACTGCACTATTTCACTTCCTGTGTGGTTCTTGTTCACTGCTGGTTCCCCTGTGCTCAGCACTATGCCTTATACATAGTAGGTACTCACTATTTGTAGAATAACAGTTGCCCTATCCAGAGAACTTTGTGTCAAGACTCTTGCCAAGCATGCTGCCTGTATAATCTCACTTAACAAGAGTAGATCAGGGAATGTTGTTGGCCTGGAGTAGAATGAGAGTTAGGAATAGCAAGTAGATTTAGGCTATTTGTGTAGCCGGAGTCCACAGAACTTGCTGGTAGTTTGGACAAGGGACCGAGTGGCTTCAGAGCTGGTAGGAAGTAGCAAAGAAAGATAATCTCGAGGAAAAAACTAAAAATGCTTCTTGATGTGTTTTCCGTTTACTGTGCTATTGGTAGCCAGATAGATATGGGCACTTATATCTGTAACTCTGTGCTTAGATAAAACAAGCTGGGTTTCCTATTTAGAACTCACCAGAACTACCTGAGGTAGGAGCCATAACCAACTGAAACTGTAACTTCCTAAGTCTTTTTAAAGACAGTGTGTGTGTGTGTGTGTGTGTGTGTGTGTGTGTGTGTGTGTGTGTCACATGGGTGGAGGTGGGAGCATCACCTGTGTACGCTGCTTCTTTCCTTCTACTGGTGGGGATCAAATTTACATCCTAGACTCAGAAGCAAGTGCCTTTACCACGGAGCTGCCTCACTGGTCATCTTCCTAAGTTTCTGTGTTTTAAGGTTTATTTATTTTATATGTGTACGTGTTTTGCCTGCATGTATGTATATGTACTGTGTATATGCTGGTACCCTCTAAGGTCAGAAGAAGGTGTCAGATCCCCTGGAACTAGAGTTACAGATGGTTGTTGTCTTAATTAGGGTTTCTATTGCTGTGAAGACACCTCGACCATGCAACTCTTATAAAGGAAAACATTTCATTGAGGTGGTGACTTACAGTTCAAAGGTTCAGTCCATTTTCATCATGATGGGAAGCACGGTGGCATGTAGGCAGACATGGTGATGGAGAGGTAGCTAAGAGCTCTACATCTGGATCTGCAAGCAGCAGGAAAAGATTGAGAGCTATACTAGGCCTGACTTGAGCTTCTGAGACCTCACAGCCGGCCCCAGTGACATACTTCTTCCAACAAGGCCATACCTCCCAATGGGCAGTCCCTATGAGCCTGTGGGGCCATTTTCATTCTAACCACCAAAGTTGTAAACTACCATGTGGGTGCTGGAAACTGAACTGCAAGAACCACCAGTGATCTTAACCCTATCTATCCCTCCAGCCCATCTGCCTAAGCTGTAAAGTGAAAGGGGAAAACCAGGATTTGAGTCCCATATACACACTGATTCCTGAACCACCCCACAGAGAATCGTGTTGCCAGCCCCAGGTCTTGCAGTTACGTTTCTACAGTGTGAATTTCCCCATGCCAGTAATAGTTGTTTCCAAAGCTAAATTATGCTATTCTTATAGATTTCAAATATGAGGCTTGCTTGAAGTCATACACGAAGAACACAAAACAGCAGGATAATGGGGTGGGGAGGATGAGCACCTGGCACCGTGGTAGAAGCGAGAGGATTAGGAGTCAAGGCCAACCTTGTCTCAAAAACCCTCACAACAGATACAAATAAATAACTTTGTTTTATTTTAGGGATGACCACTCTTGTTCTTCACCTAAGTTGGAGAAACACTGCACTTTAATCTCCTGCCTTGTGCCATCAGGCCAACTGAAGACAGGGTTTTGAAATCTCAGCTATCAAGTTTTCCAGCCAAAGTCTCAATCTTGCCTTAACAATGTTTCAGAGACTGAACAAAATGTTTGTAGGTGAAGTTGCTACTTCCAACCAAGAACCAGAATTTAGTGAGAAAGAAGATGATGAATGGATTCTTGTTGACTTCATAGGTAAGGTGTACTCAACAATTAATCATCACAACACAAGGGGCATCCAGCAAGCTAAGCTATGTAGCTAAGGCTAACCTTAAACTCTTGGTCCTCCTGCCTTCATTGCCCACTCACTAGGATTATAGACACACCCCACCACACCTGGCTCAAGCACTAGAGTGCTTTTCTACACACACACACACACACACACACACACCCTCGTGTGCACTCAAACATGGATGTGTACATATATACAAAGAATGTGTGAACTCTTAAATGTAATTTTTAAGGTTTAAGAGTAAATAAATAAGGACATTCCAAAAACTTTCAGGAAACATTTTGTGCCAGACAATCCAGTCAGTAAAACTGACTGACGTCAGACTTTCCAGTTTTGCAACTCCCAAAGCCTGGTGCAAGCAGAGGCGCTTTAATGGGAAACCCTCACGAGCAACAGGAACCCACGGGGCTCATACTGTGTTTATCTGCCAGAATATAAAGTCCTAAAGCCATTCCTTAGTGCCAGTATAACTATACATAGGTTAGAAATGAATTTATAATTGTTACAAGCAAAACTTGCCTTTGTAAGCATCTTCTAATATAGTATTGTCCTTTCTTCTGTTGTGAACTTGGATGACTCTGCCACAACTGAATGCTCATCCTCCCATGTGCAATGTGGATCACAATCTAGACACTTGCACTGGTTTCTCAGCCGAGGAAGAGGAGGAAGATGATGACATCAGTGAAGAGTCCCCAGCAGAGCACACATCAGTCTTCTCCTGTTTACCTGCATCTCTGGAGTGTTTGGCTGATACCAGTGACTCCTGCTTCCTCCAGTTTGAGTCCTGCCCAATGGAGGAGAGCTGGTTCATCACCCCTCCCCCATGTTTTACAGCAGGTGGATTAGCCACTATCAAGGTGGAAACAAGTCCTATGGAAAACCTTCTCATTGAACATCCCAGCATGTCTGTGTACGCTGTTCACAACCCCTGCCCTGGTCTCAGTGAGGCCAGCTGTGGGAATGAGGACTACAACTCGAGCAGCCCCAGGTATGTTGCAAGCACTTCCTAATCTCTGCACGGCAGTCTGCTAAGCAAAGAGTTTATTTCTGCACAGTACAAAGCTAAGGCTTTGGAAGATAAAAAAGTAATTGTGTTAGAGATTTACTTAAGTAACATGGTCAAGGCTATAATTGCAGCATGCAGGTCAGGATTGAGTTTTATAAGGTTATTAATTATAGCATGGCTCAGTTGTATAAAAGAGAACTATCTCACTTACAAAATTATGCTACTGAAGGAAAATTAAAAAAGACTAGTATTTCTGATAAGTATATTAGAATATAATTCTAGTATATTATAGACTCAATTATTTAGGGTATCAAATTCACCTAAAATATGTCTCAAAAATTTATTTACTTCCACATCTCTTAGCTAAACCACCTTAAATGGTGCTTAACCTAGAAAATCCAGGTATTTGTTCCAACGGTTGTCCTCAGATTTCACACTGCAGTGATGTTGTTATATGGCAGTCCAAAATGGAGAGTTGAGGGCCCAGTAAGCTCAGGGAAGAGAAGTCAGTAAAGATTAGTGTGTCACAAATCAACCTTCCAGATACTCTGTGGCCTTTATCAAGAGAACATTTTCAGCAGTACATCTGAGACGATTCCCACCTCTCCATCTCACTCGCTTAGAACCTGGCCCGTCAGTCATGCATGTCAGTGGAACATGCCTGTAATAGCAAACCACATTGTGAGGATTGTCCCTGACTTACGCCTTCTCTGGATTCTTTGGAGTACTTCACTGTCATCCAAAGGCCTCCTTTTGGATAGTTCAGGCCATGACTCCACTGGCCCACTGTATATAGCTTGTTTCCCATCTATGGAGTAATAACTAAACCCAGGCAACGTTAAGCTTTCCAGAGTTGCTACTCTCCCAAGTCTCAATACTACAGATGCACTTTAGCAAGGCTAAATACATTTCCTCTTACTTGTACCAAACCAAAAATCATGTTATTACAGTTACATAATACCAGGCATAAACTGGGACTTCAAGTGGCACATTTTTGAAAGCCATAACTTTGCTGAGTTAAGTGTTTTTCAGCATCCCAACAAACATTTAAAATATAACTTGTTTGGAGGTGGTGGTGATTTAATTGCTTTACATTGGCTTTAAGCAGATTTCTTCAGTTCTTAAAAATTCAGGCTGGAGGGATGGCTCAGAGGTTAAGAACACCGGCTGTTCTTCCAGAGGTCCTGAGTTCAATTCCCAGCAACCACATGGTGGCTCACAACCATCTGTAATGAGATCTGGCTCCCTCTTCTGGCCTGCAGGGATGCATGCAGACAGAACATTGTATACATAATAAATAAATCTTAAAAAAAAAAAAAAAATTCTTCCCTACTGATTGTGATTGCATCCACCCAAGAATGACTAGGGGCTAGAGAGATGGCTCAGTTGTTAAGAGCACTGTCTGCTCTTTGAGATGACCCAAATTCAATTTCCAGCATCCATATGGCAGCTAACTGTAACTCCAGGCCCTGGGGATGACGCCATCTTCTGGCCTTTATGGGTACTACAGACACGTGGTGCACAGATTTATTTACATGCAACCACAACATTCATACACACAAAACAGAAATAAGTAAAATCTCAAAAAAAATTTTTTCAAGAAAAGAATCTAACATGATTAATCTGACATGGTCACTGTAAGTTTATTTATTGGCATTTGATGTTTTTAAAGTACACATGTATGTAATTGGCAGTTTTGCAAAGTAATGTTATAGCATACATTGCCAAAAATTTAAATACGCAGAAATTTCACAATTTGAAATGGCATCCCTCATGACCCACAGAGGAATACTATTAACACCCTGGGCATGTCCTAAGTTGTTTTTACTATATAGGCTCATTTCAGTACCTGTCACCTTTACTTTGAACCCAATGGATTCTATACTATTTTATTAGACATGATACTCACCATTGTGTTTTACCAAATTTTCACTTCATCTTACCAAATCATACTTTAATCTTCCCCTGAAGAGCCTATGTCTAGAGTATTTCAGCTTTACCCGAACCATCATCTTTATCCAATTTAATATCCACTTAACCCCTGTATTTAGGGGTTAAGTGTTTGATATCAGATGCCACAAGGAATTGGATTTGCATTCCTGTATCATACATATTGACATGTAGGATCAACAGATACTTTTCATAAATGAATTATCAAAGGCCAACCATGGTGACATGCTTGTAGCATTTAGGAGGGTGAGGTAGGAGGAACAGTAGTTCAAGGGCAGCTTGGAATACATAGTGAGATCCCTGTCTCAAAAAGAAGTGTGTTTTTGTATTTCTAAATCAAGGTAGAATTCGGTGTTACCAAAATGGCAAGACTATTTATGTAGCAAACAGTCTGCTTTGCAAGCAAGCAATAAACCATGTTTTTCAATATTACTTCCATTCTGTCTGTCCTCAGGGATATTAGTATAAACCACATGAGTATGATGCTAAGTACTTACAATGGCTTTAGAGTATACATTTTATTGCATCTTAGCCTTTACAAACATTGTTTGTGAATGTTTATGATACCATAATTTTAAGTAATGTCTTCAGTTTCCCATAGTAAATCAGTCTTAATAAAGAAAAATGACCATGTCCTAGTAGTAAAATTAAAATGGCATTTTAAATCTTACTAGTGATTTAATAGTTCACCATTTAACATTTGTAGGGCCAGGAAAAGCTGCTTATAAGACTCATGGGCACAGAGTAAGTATGTTCATTTTGAGACTGTATGATCTGTTACCAGTCTAAGCAGGGAGACCAGGAACCCAAATGCCTGCCTTCTAAAAATCATTGCATTTATAGTAGCTTCTTTCTATTTGCTTCTTTTTTGTTTTTCCCTACTGCTAGGGATCAAGCCTTGTACGTACTAGACAAGCACTCTACCATTGAGCTATACTGCCACCCAACCCTCTGTTAATTTCTTTTTTTTTTAAAGATTTATATTTATTATGTATACAGAAGAAGGTGCCAGCTCTCATTACAGATGGTTGTAAGCCACCATGTGGTTGCTGGGAATTGAACTCAGGACCTCTGGAAGAACAGTCAGTGCTCTTAACCTCTGAGCCACCTCTCCAGCCCCTCTGTTAATTTCTTAATGGGATCTGTTTTAGTTCATTTCCTCCCACCATTTTAGGTAAAATATGTAACTGCCTTCCTGAATAAAAAAACTGGTAAAAATCTTAAAACTCAAACTGGGATATAGCTCAGTTTGTAGAGTTCTTGTCTGGTGCACAAGAAAACCTGGGTTCAGTTGCCAGTGAATAAACTGGACTTGGTGGTACACACCTGTAAACCTAGCCCTGGGAGAATCAGAAGTTCAAGGTCACTCCTGGATACATTGGGAGCTTGAAACCAGCCTGTGTTAGAGACCCTCAGTCCTCATCGTTACAGTTTTGCTGGGAATGTTGCTCACCTGTCAAGCATTTGTCAATTATGCAAGAGGCCTGAGATCAATACACAGCACTGCAGAAAATTAACTTTGTTATTAATGTATACAACCATGTTCCAATATACATGTTGTGTAAATGCCATTCCAAAATATGCCCTCCTGTGGTATAAATAAAAAAAGTTGAAGGAATGTCCTTATATACATTTCTATGAAATGCTGATTCATATGCTATCTAGGACATTTTACCTGTAGCCAGAAATCATCTGTGAAGGTGCTGGGTGCTGTTGATGTAAATGCTTTTTGATCAGTCAAATTTGAGAATTATATTTTATTTTAATATTATAGTAAGACTGAAATAGATAATATCTTCTAAACAGCTAAAAGTTGGATGTGTGACTCACACTGTAATTCCAGCACTTGAAAAGCTGAGGCAGGAGGATCAGTAATTTAAGGCCAGTGTTGCCTATGTGGCAAATTTGAGGCTATCCTCATCTGCATGAGACTCTACCTTAGATAACTAACCGAACCGCAGATGTTCAGTAGACATCAGTTCTCCTCCTGGAGAACCGTATTAAATTCACTCAGAGTATGGAGCATAGTTTTAATATACAGCCCATTTAGCCACCTCTGGATTATATGCTACATTCCTATTAAAAGTTCTTTTCACCTAGGAGCTATGACACACATTTGTAATCTCAGAATGTGGAAGCTGAGGCAGGAGGATGGTGAATTTGAGGGTGGCCTGGGCTCAATAACAAGACACTATCTCAAAAGCAAAAGCAAAAACAAAAAGTTGGCTTCTCCCTTCTACCACTAGCAGCAAATACAGTCACAAAATATAAATCTGTCCATCAGCCAGGAGGCACTAAGTTCCTACCCAACCAGAGACAAATAAATGTAGAAAACTAAATTCCTAAGGAAGTAGCCTGTTTAGTAGTTGTTGACACACTCCACTTTGGTCTGTTTCAGAATGGAAGCCCAAAGTGAAATGGGGGAGCACATTCATTGCTGTGTTGCAGCTCTTGCTGCTCAGGCAGCATTTCTGGAACAACCCAGGAGCTTCCGCCCTTCCCAATGGATAAAAGGACAGAGTGAAAGACAGTCTCTGAACAGAAATGGCCTTCGTCGCCAGAACCTTACCAGGGATTGCCATACTCGACAGATGAAGCACAGTGGCTGGGTGGTTCACCAGCCCTGCCCACGCCAGTACAATTACTGAGAATGTTGGTTTCCGTGGGTTTGTGCCCATGTATGTGGATGTGTGTGTGCATACAATGAAAATGCTGTCTCCTTCCAGCCAACTGAAGACCAACTGCCTAGTGTGTCAGTGTGTCTAGACACTATCACAACCATATTTTGTGCTTTGTATCACATAATGCCTTGCTCCTGACAATTACTTTTAAATAACCTTTTCAGAATATTTTTGGAAACATATCAATACAGTTACAGTGTTTGGGGAGGTCTTTAAATATAGTAAGGTATATATGAGTAATATCTTACAAATTTCATCTATCAATTTTGTATTATTTAATCTTTTGTGTAAGCAAAAATTTATTCTCAGGGTCAGCCACATACTTTATTGACCAGTACTTGATAAGTCTTTTCTGTATATAATGAGTACATTTTTATACACTAACATGAGCATTAACAAGTGATTTTTGCCATGGATATAATGGAATTAATGGCTGAACTTACTTCTGAAAGAAAACTTGACATATTCCGTATGTATGGTTCTTTTTTTCCCAGATTGGTCATTGCAGTTTATTGTGGAATTCAGGTACATTAACTTTGGTGAACAAATGCATTCAACAATTCTGATGTGACTCCACAATATGGTACAGATACTATAGCTGTCATGGACAAAAGCACTTGTCTCATATGCAAAGGGAAAATTAGACGTGTGAGATGACATTTGCAATCTGTCTGTAGGTAACCCACAGAGCGGTCAGTCAGTATTTGGAGGTGTCTAGAGTCTTAACTGCCAGTTCAGCTGGAAATGCACAAGTGTTTGCCCAGGCACTTGGTGACTGCATGCTCATGTCTGCCCTTAAGCAAGGTAATTCCTCAGACATGGAGCCTGTCCTCCCAAGGGGAAAGCATGGGAGATGGGACTTCTGGTGGCACGTTTACAGCATCCAAGTGAAGACTGATGGATTGGTTTCCTTGAGCTTTCATTTTTTAACTTCACAAAATCTTTAACCACTTTGGCCTCTGTTTCCTCCACAGCAGGGGAGTAATAATACTTACCTCCCTCACAGAGTTGTGGGGATTGCATACTAATTGCAAGTGGAGCTGTCAGAACTGAACTTTGTGTGAATTTCCAGGGCCTTTCTATTGAACCTAGTGGTGGGAGGCTATGGCACACTTTCTGCCGTGATTATTCTTCAGGGTTGGTGCTAATGAGGTCAGGGTGCAGGGTTCCACTCACATAGGCCAGTTATCTTACCTCTAACTGGTCACTTCTTTCTAAAAGCAGTTTTGATGGGTTTTAATGAGCCATCCACACTTGCAACCAACTTTCTGGAAAATTAAACCCATTTACAGCTTAAAGCACATTCTACTGAGAGTAATATCATTACCTGTATAATCAAAGAGCTCATTTCCCTATCTCCTCTGCAACCTAATTAAACACTTGTTTATGAAATAATTTCAAGGAAAAAAAGCAGCATACTGTTATGTGAAGTATTATCCCTGTAGCAGATTGATGCAGGGAACCTTGGGAGACTTTCAGGGAAGAGCTGTGCTCCTCTGACAAGGCGAGGCTTTTAGAGCTGCAGTTAGACAGTGAAGGGTCTTCTTATACTGGCTGTAACAAGTGCCAGGATGTCTCTCTTAGAACAGGAATCTAGATTCCTCATCCTTCCTTAAAACTTTCCATACTGACTTCCCCCTTTATTTATTTGTTTTCTAATTAGGGGCCAAGTCTGTAAAGTTTGTCAAACTGAGAAGTCATTTGTTACTATTTGTTTTCATGAAGGTTTGCATGTTTTACACCATGTTTGTTATAGGGTCATATGCTGGTAACTTGAAAATAGACCAGCTATGTGTCTTCTGGACACAAGCTTCTAAATACATGTAAGCCTTTCCCACCCCCTTATGTCACATGCAAGTTGTGTCTCACAAGCCGGAAGTTCAGCCATTAGAATTTGTTTGGCTAGCGTGAACTGATTTGTGTATTAAACTGCAGTGGTTTTGTTGTTGTTGTTTTTAAACAACTTTCCCTTAGATTTGTTCATCCTTTAAGTACATTTACATCTCTTTCAGTTACTGACTTCATTTGCCTTGTCTGTGCCTAGTGTTTTTGCCTTGGTCCTAATAACCAGCAAACGTAAATTACTGGGATTTTTTTTTTTTCTTCAGGGTTAAGATTACCAACCACATCACCTATAGTAGGTAGCACACTGTGGTTCCTGTGTGAGAATCTAAAGTTATGTCTAAAATTGGCACATGTAAGAATTGAAGAAAAATTGTAATTCTTGGTCATTACATGTTCTGTTAGGCAACTACTGTGTGTAAGACACAAGCCTAATAACAAAGAACAATGTTAACCTGTTAAATGTTTTTTGGCCGGGCGGTGGTGGTGCACACCTTTAATCCCAGCACTGGGGAGGCAGAGGCAGGCGGATCTCTGTGAGTTCAAGGCCAGCCTGGTTTACAGAGTGAGTTCCAGGACAGGCTACAAAGCTACACAGAGAAACCCTGTCTCGAAAAACCAAAAAACAACAAAATGTTTTTTGAAACATGGCCAAAATGCATTTTCTGAGTTGATTACTCACTGATTATCATCATTTTGCTGTTGTAACGACTAGTGGTTTACAGTGTACTTCACTGAAAGTACAGGCAGTAAGAAGAAAGACCCCAAGGGTGGGGATGTAGCTTAGTGGGGAGCACTTGCCTAGTGTGTGCAAGGTCCTGAGTGCCATCCCCAGCACTGCAAACAAAACAGAGTGAGACTCCTGAGTTTAGGAGCTCTGGCCATTTCCAAACTGATAGCCTAGAATGTTGCTTGGAAAGTCTAGAATACATGGTGTGTATCTGCCATACATCTGGAGTATGTTTTTTAGCTTTTACAGTGGACCTCCACATTCCTCAAAGTTTGTGTTTTGTGTTAAACATTTTAGAGTGTGTAGTCCGTTAATTACTATTTCCTGAGTTATATTCTGCCCTGTATGTAGATGCTTAGCTTGCCATATTTATCTTGCGGCTATTTGTATTTGTATGGTTGAGTAGGTGCAGAGATGCAAGGAGATTGGATTTTTACTTCCCATTGCAGGAAGTTAAAAAAAAAAATCCCAAACTCATTAACTTTGTGTATATTTTTCCAGTTGCCATGCAGATTGTCCCTGTCTTATCCGTTCTTTGGTTCTAGTGAGAAGAGTGTTTACTTAAAACTTGCCAGGGCTCATAAGCCTGCCTGTTGTTTTTGCTTCTCAGATCTGTACACTGGCTATTAGTCTTCACTTCCGTTGAAATCTGGATGCTTTGCTGTTTTGCTGTCCTCACAGAAGCATACAGTCTTTGTATATTCTTAAGACAAACAGAAAAGCGAGGGAGACTATCATCTCTACTCTCTCTCTCTCTTTTGAGTTGGAAAAAACTAAGAATGAAGGACTACAACTAGAAGACCCATTTAAGTAGATTGATTAGTGGGGAAAGTTTCTACCTTTTTCTTTCTATTTTAGAGACAATGAAGAGACTGCTCCTTGTACTGAGATACTACTATGTTTCTATTGTTGCCTTGAAGTTATCTTTTTATTTTATAAGGCTTATAGATACTATTTGTTTTAAATTCTTTAAAGTTAGAATCGGCCTCTGATGCATTATAAATGGCAACTCTACCTATTCTAATGTTGAAATTTGACACGAATGCTTGTCTATTTAACAAATCTATACATATGACAGTGTTGTCCACTTTGTCATAGGCCAGTTTCTCTTGAAATGTGACACCAATTCAAGCAGCTTAGGTGCAGAGAGACACCAGGAAGTGTCTTCTCTCACTGGCAACAGTATCCTTTATGTGGAAGAGAAGTCACTATTCAGAGGAAGGCAACGTGGATGTTCTGTGTATCATTGATAAGTTTTCTTGTGATATTGAAAAATGTCTCTGCTAAATGAGTTTGGCTCTGTACTTTCCTGTTTTAGTATTGTTTTCTAGGTGAACTTGTAAAAACCAGTGCTTAGTGAGGTTAGGTGTGTATTTGGGGGCCTTGGGTGTGTGTGTGTGTGGTTTTGTTTTCCTCCAGAAGCTTTGAACTTTAGTCAGTAATTGTGTGTGTTATTTTTAAGAAGTGGCTTTATTTCTTTCCTCTAGTAAAATTGTGAACACATCTGCCTTCTGAAGGCAGGTTATGAGAAAAAGTATTGTCGGTTGTACTGTGTGCCTCTGTAATGTGTTTATGGGCACAGCTGTTTCTCTCATCAACTTGAAAACGTAAGGGACATTGTGGTTAGGGTATATAAACTGTACATCAATCTATGCATAAATGGCAGCTTGTTTTCCTGAGCCACTATCGAATTGGTTTTCTGTTTTTATACATTTTTTATACTGATTGGGTCACAGATGGTCAGTTTTATACGGAATGAACAGCACAGCACTTTGCCAAAAACCCGTGTAGCATTGCTTAAACATTGTGTATTAACACCAGTTCTCTGTCATGGGTTCACTAGTGCATTTTGCACTGCCAGGAGTTATGGTTTTTTAATCTGTCAGTAAATAAAACGTCCTTTAATTTAACATGTGTTGGATTCTTTTGTCTTCATGGTCTTTTCTCTTAAGTAATACAACTTACTTAAAACACTTGCTGTCTAGTATTGCTTGTGCAAAAAGTTGTTTAATATGCACTGTAAATACTCATTTTAAAGGAATGGTGGTGCATACTCAAGAACTGCTGAGGCAAGAGCATTGCTGCATGTATAAGGCCAGCGTGGTCTACGTAGCAAAGCCCTGTTTTTTTTTTGTTTTGTTTTGTTTTTTGTTTTTTTTGCTTTTTGAGACAGGGTTTCTCTGTGTAGCTTTGGTGCCTGTCCTGGATCTCGCTCTGTAGACCAGGCTGGCCTCGAATTCACAGAAATCTGCCTGGCTCTGCCTCCTGAGTACTGGGATTAAAGGCGTGCACCACGCTTCCCAGCCCGTCTTCTTTTTTAAAAAGCCTTTGTTTAGCCAAGTGTGGTGGTGCATGTCTTTAATCTCAGCACTAAGGAGGCAGAAGTAGGCAAGGCTAGTCTGGTCTACAAAGTTGAGTTCCAGGACAGCCAGGGATGCACAGAGAAACCCTATCTTGAAAAACAACAACAACAAAAAGCCTTTGTTTATACATACAAATACACATTATATAGCTAAATCTTATTTATATAAAGTTTTTCCATCTAAAGTGAATAGTTATTTAAATAAAGGAATTTAAGGGTTATTTCCAACTAGTACTTTCTCCTCTAACCAATCTATTCTTTCTTTTGGTGGGGGGAGGGTGTATGGGTTTTACATGTATGTCTGTGTACCATGTGCATCAGTGGCCATGGAGAGAGACCAGAATAGGGTGATGGATCCCTTGGGTCTAGAGTTGCAGTTGTGAGCTGTCAAAGAAGAGCTTGGAATTGGACCCTGGTCCTCTATAAGATTAACCAGTGTTCTTAACCATGGAGCCATCTCTCCAGCCCCAAAGTTAATTTTTTGAGACAGTGTATCAGCTAACCCAGGCTGGCCTTGAACTCCTGATCCTCCCGATCTGCTATTTTTCAAAGGAAGGTAGAAATAAACTTGTATTTGGGGGGCCAGTCCTTTAGAAGGGAAGAGTTTACTGTTACCATGAATAAAACTTCAGTTTCTCATCAAGTTTTTCTGTGTCTACATGCCGTGTGTGGGGAGAAGCTCCAGCACCAAAGGTCACTGCTGGTGTCTTCCTCAGCGGCTCTCCGATTTTTTGCTCAGGCAAGGTGTCACATGAACTTAGAGCTCTGAATTCCTTCAAGAGGTGAACAAGCCAGGGCACTGCAGAGACCCCAGGCCCGGCACACCCCCCTGCCGCTCTGCAGGTGCTGGGGTTCTTAGCTCCCACCCTCATGCTTGCACCCAAGTGCCTCACTCTCTGAGCCATACTCCTAGCCCAAAGTCTTGTTCTGTTGTTGAGTGGTTTTGCCAAAAAGGATGTGTTTGAAAATTACCTCAATAAACCTTGGTCTAAAAGCTTTAAGTAAAATGTAACACCTAGTTAAATTAAAATCTGTCATACATATCCAAATTTAAAAAAAAAAAAAGGAGAAACCCATTTAATCAGTTCTGGATTTTCTATCTCCAAAGAGAAAACACTGGAGGTAGCAGGTCCCTACAGACTGAGGGGGCAGAAAGAAGTGTGTAACTAACTGGGTTAGAGTGGAGATGAGGGTACGAAGAAGAGGTAAGCAAAGGACAGTCGCATCTAGTCCAGGCGACTGGGATACAAGCAGAGCACACTGCCCTGTGTACCTCCCTCTGCCTGCCCTTTAATGGCAAGTCACGGGATGAAAATTACCCATTAAATGTTTGGTAACTATACTCAAGAGTTAACAAAGAAAAAAATCAAAATATTTTATTTAGTGATCTTACATTCTAAAACCAGCCTCTGGGGAAATGTATAGGGTGAAAATGTCTAGCAGTTAAAGAGTTAGCCATGCTTTTTCTGAGATAAGCCAAGCCTCTGAAATCACCACAGAGCCTGACCTGGTGGCACAGGGCCCAGGCCCACTCTGCACCAGCATGTCTGGAAACACTGAGGGGTTCAGGTCAAGGCCACTCACGACACAAATCCTAGGGGATTCAGAGGGTCAGACAGTGTCGTTGTTTGAGGGTATCTTTTTCTTTGAGGAGCCTGGACTGTGTCCCTCAGAAAGGGAGCCACTGGTTATGTTGAATACCTTGTTAAACTGAGACGCTAACAAATTTGTCAGTGGGGTTTGGTGGTACATGCCTCCAACCCCAGGATTGTGAGGTGGAAGGAGGCCAGAGGATCAGGGATTCAAGGTCATCCTTGATAATAGCAAATTCAAGGCCAGCCTGAACTACATGAGACCCTGTGTGAACACAGTTTCTGAGTGTTAAGGAGTCAATCAATATTTCATTCTAAAAGAAAAAAAAAATCAGCTACTCACTTTCAGCAAGCTTAAAAGTATTGAAATTAAGAAGTTTCAAAAAAAATTTTTGTTGTTTTAGGGAGGGACAGTTGGCAGGGTCTCAGTATGTAGCCTGGGCTAGAATCAAACCTGTGGCACTCTTCCTGCCTCTGCCTGGAATTTACAGGTGTGTACCACATCTAACTCAAAAGAAAGCCTTATTGATCTGAAAATACCAGACAAACGTACTAGAGAATGTCAATTTGCAGCCCTAGAGATGTATGTAGACACAGCCCTAGAAATGCCTAAGGGACTGCTGGCCTAAAGAATCTTCCCCTCATTCTCATACTTAAACAAACCTAATGGGGTAGAACGCCTGGACACACTGGATAAAACTGGGTATGGTGTTTTGCCTGAATCCTGGGACTAGGGAGGTGTAGTAAGATGATCAGGAGTTCCAGTTCTTAGAACGATGTGAGTTGCTCTTGTCTACCTTGTCCCAGAACCAGACTAGTAAAACATTAGGTCTTGTGGCATAACATGAAGGGCTTGACAAAGCAGACTGTTTATGCTCTAACCAAATTGTCTGACCTGTGGACTGGAGATACAGTTTGGTGGTGAGTCAGTCTTTTCATACTATATGGAGGCCCTGACTAGAATCCTCAGCACTGCCAAAGAGGAGTAACAAGAGCAACCCATTTCTTGTAGATTTTAGTGTTTGATTTTCAGTTTGTTGTTGTTGTTGTTGGTGGTGGTGATGTGTGTGTAAAAATGCTTGCTATGCATTCCTGATGTCATGAATCTCAATCTCTGGATCCTACGATGGAACAAGAGAACAGACTCCTAAACATTGCCCTCTGACTGCCACAAGTGTGATCTGCTTGAACAATTTCTCATACATACTAATAAAAATATAATTCAGTCCATAATTCTTTATTTGCAATACTTGAAAAGTCCTTAAAACTAAGGTACCCCCCAAATTTGTTGCCAAACTTATTACCCAAATTAAAAAAAAACAAAAAACAAAAAACAAAAAAACCCAAACCTGTCTTAACTGACCTAAGACTTAGCTGTCAAAGCAGTCTGTCCAATGCCTCACCCATGTGCTGATATTCTGTTGCTGTTTTGTTTTTCTGTAGCCCTAAAAGTATCAAATAGAATCAAAGATTCAGTGGGGGTACTGAAGTGATGGCTCAGCCACTAAGAGCGCTGGCCAGCCTTCCAGAGGACCCAGGTTTGGTTCCCAGCACCTATCAGCACCCATACACCTATCTCAGAACCCAACAGCAACTCCACCAGTCACTTCGATTCCAGAGGGTCTGATGCCCTCTTCTGGCCTCAGAAGGTACTGCATATATATCGTTCGGAGACATAAACAAAAACACAATGCAACCCGTTTTAAAAAAAGGAAGAAAACCAGAAAAGGAGGGGCAGGAGAGATGGTTCCATTGGTAAAGCACTTACCATTCAAACAAGAGGATCTGAGCTGATCCCCAGCACCTACAAAAGCTGGGTATGGTAGTGGACACCTGTGACCCCAATATTGGGAGGTGGGGATAGTAGGGTCCCACTGGCTTACCAGCCAGGTTAGCCAAATTGGCAAGCTCTAGGTTCAGTGACAGACTGTTTCAAAAACTAGGCTGGAGAGCAGATGAGCAAGACAGCTGACCTCCACCTCTGGCTTCTACATAGACACATCCCTCCCAATAAACACATACATTAAAAAAATTTAAAGGAATGTTACGTTTGGCTATGGGAACATTACTTCAGGCCCTGCTGGGCTGTCAAAAAACATATGGCATGAATACATTCATCATGCTCTTTCAAGACATCTGAAAAGTTCTGAATTCTAAAACTTATCCAGCTTCCAAATTTCTGGGTAATAGATTGTAAACCTTTCCTCAGAGAGCAGCTAGGGCTGGTGGCACAGGTCTGAAATCCCAGCTACTTTAGAGGCTAAGGCAGGATTCCAAATTCAAGATCTGCTTGGGTAAGAAAGTCAGTTTAAGGCCAGCCTGGGCAATTTAGTGAGACCTTGTCTCCAAACAGCAAGTGAAAAAGAGGGCCAGGCTAGAAGTACCTGAAGGGTACCAGCCTCTCTTAACTGTGCAGTGCCACTATTCTCAGAGAACAGATTATCTCACATTCTTTTTGTCTTATACAGTCTTAACATACTTGTAACTAACAGGCTATTCATTAGAATACACTACTCAATCAACTAGGAGTGGGCTATGGGTGTGTATGTGAAGAAACCCTAATATCTTCACTTTAAATGCACAGTTGTTTCTGAGAAGTGATAGATGCCTATGACCACCAAGTTTATTTATTGTGTGGCTGGACTATTTGTTCTAACTAAATGCATGAATCCATCTCCTCACCAAAAAAGGATGGCTGGGGATCCAGTTCAGTGGTGGAGTGCTTACCTACACACTGGGGCCCTAGTTTCAACTCCCAAGAATCATAATAAACAAACAGAAAAATGAGCACACAGTGGGTTAAGCAGGTTTCGAACTGTGTTTTTCTCTTGTGGTACCCAGATCATTGTGTTGTGTTCTTGAACGAATACATACACACACACACCTACCTACTTCTTACTTTTTAAACAACAAAACTGAAAGATGGCCACACCCAGTGGAAATACTTTTGGATGGTGTCCTACTGTAATTAGGAATCTTTACAAAGTCAAAGTAAAGCAGCAGCATCACTATAATGAGCAGCAATTCACAGTGAACATCTGGCTTCCAGGGTTCTGTTTGTTTCAGACAGTCTCCTAAGCCCTTGAGTCCAGTTCAGACAGCCACTTCTGCTCTCTGGCTGCCTACTGTTGCATCCCTGCTAATGACTGACGCTGGGAAGGCTTCTTGGGTTGTCTCAACCAGGAGCAAATGAGCAGGGAGAAGCTGGGACTTAAGACAGCTGTTTTAGCAGACGCCCTATTCTTTCCTCCTCAATTCTCAGCTGGGTTATTATAAATTACAGTACTAGGAAAACAGGCCCTCAAGGGCGAAGGCTCTATTGCCTCTTATTCTCACTCTAGTCTAAAAGCATTCAAGGGAAAGAGAGATTACCTCCTGATATTGTCTGCACAAATCTACCTGTTGAGGGCCAAGGTCAAGACAAGAACATCAGGAAAGCACGCACCAGCAGCAGAGCCCATTAGTTTTGCACGTGTTAATGAATACTCTGTAGATGTATCCAACCGTCTTATTAATCAGCAGCCTTCAGGAAGGATTACAATATGCCATGCTTCTAATTCCCTAGTCAAGAGCTCTGCGGTGTACATACAAGGTGGACTTACAGACAAGACTGATGGAAGAAACCTGACAAACATCAAAAGAGAGAGTACACTACAGCCGGGCGGAGGTGGCACACACCTCTAATCCCAGCACTCGGGAGGCAGAGGCAGGCGGATCTCTGTGACTGTGAGTTCGAGACCAGCCTGGTCTACAGAGTGAGATCCAAGACAGCCAGAGCTACACAGAGAAACCCTGTCTCAAAAAAAATAAAAAAAAGAAAGATTATAGCCCTCTGACCATGTCAGTTATTCTCTCAAAACTTTTCTCTTTATTAAAAAAAATTACCACACTTGAGCCACGCGAAACTAGTTACTAGAGTAGAAGAGACAGCGCTGGTGAGAGGTTGCTCTGTACAAACACCTTCAGTTGAATTCGTTTTACTGTTTTTGTTCTTTTATTTTTTGAGACAAACATATTCTGTCTGGCAGGCAGGGAACTCACTCTGCAGAACAAGCTGGCCTCAAACCCAAGAGAGGCCTGTCTCTGCCTCCCAAATGCAGGAACTAAAGGCATGCACCACTGTGCCTGGCCCTGTTCTTTTGTTGTTCAGTTAGTTTAAGAGAGGGCCTTCCTATGTGTATTAGTCAGGGTTCTCTAGTCACAGAACTTATGGAATGAATATCTCTCTCCGTATATACACACACATATATAATAAATTTTCATATTTATATATATATATGAATTTACCAGAATGACTTATAGGCTGCAGTCCAACAATGGCTAGATGTGAATGGGAAGTCCAAGAATCTAGTAGCTGCTCAGTCCCATGGTCTTCTGTATATGCCAGAATTCCAAAGAAGTAGGTGTTGTTTCTCATTAAATTCAGTAGCTGCCCTTAAGCAACTTCTGTCCTAGTCAGCAATTGCAACTCCGGAGCTACCAGTATTGGTTCGCCTGCACTGGCTATAGCCAGGCAGGAATTCTTCTCCTTCAGGCACCAGCTCTATCACAGCCGCTAAAGAGATCTCTATCCCTCGGTCAAACTCAGGATTCAAAGGTTGAGGTGAAATTCTGCTCGCTCAAAGAGGCTGAATAGCAAGTAGCTAATCTTCACTCCTACCTCACATCACCCCCAAAACAGGGCATCCTTCTGCTCAGCCCCCAGTTAAGACTGGCTACACATGGTTCCTCCCTACCATGTCCTGTCAGCTAGTTGCTGACTCAGCCTCCTGATCCCACTGACTCAGCCTCCTGATCCCAGGTTATTTTTATTTAATCAAACAAATGTAACATGTCTTTTGCATCATTAAATAAGTGTTCCACAGCATAAACAAATGTAATACATCTTAAATTAATATTCCACAAGTAGGCTCCAATGTCAGTAAAGGAATGGGTGTGCTGACAAGGCAGGGCAAGCAAGCAAAGGAAGAACACGCCCTTCCTTCTTCCCTTGTCCTTATACAGACTTCCAGCAGAAGGTACGGCCGGATTAAAGGTGTGCCTTCCAGCCTCAAGAAGAGGATCAAAGGTATGTTGTCTTTTTGCCTCAAGATCTGGATCACACGTGTGCCCTCCATTTCTGAATTATAGTTCATTCCACATATAGTCAAGTTGACAACCAAGAATAGCCATCATACTATGTAAACCTGGCTGGCTTGAAACTTGGTGTGCTGGTCAGGCTGGCTGGAACTGCAGCACACTTCTTGGCTTTGTCTTCCAAATGCTAAGGTTTACAGGAATGCACCACCCCACCGTACCTGGCTCTCAATTGAATTTTTCCCTGCCCAGTGCTGGCCAGGTACAGTGCGAGGGTACCAGACATGAGCAGTGAAGCACTTTCAGTGGGAGATGCAGGCAAATGAAAAAAGCAGTCAGTGTCCACAAAAAGAGTGGAGTGGGCCGGGCAGGGCGGCTGGGCTGTGTGAGAACAAGTGAGGTGCGTCTGTCAGGGTCCTTTCAGTTGCACATGACAAAACAGACTCCAACTACTGTATGGGAATACATGGCAAAATGGGTGGCGTTACACACTGATGCTCTCTGCTCTGTCTAGTCACGAACTTTAGCAGGTGGACTGTCTCTCCAGGTAAACATCCCACGACAGTGACCGCAGACAACAGTGGGCTTCTCCCTGGACATCTACCTTTCCCTGAAAGATCACTGTTGCCAAGGTAGTGAGTGGCACTACTGAGTCACAGGTGGGCTAATCCATCTGGTCTATCTGGAGATGGTGGGTTAGGAGGAAGAGGAGGAAGGAAGGTACTTCCCTCACCCCATGACAGGACTGTTTGGCAGCTGGTTTGAAAAAATATAATGCACCTCAAAATAAAAGATAAAAGGTCATGGTAGTTTGAATGTAACTGCCCCCCCCCCCCAAGCTCATAGGGAGGAGCACTATTAGGAGGTGTGGCCTTGTTGGAAGAAGTGTGTCACTGTGGGGGCAGGCTTTGAGATCTCAAATATGCTGAAGCCACACCCACTCTCCCAGACCACTTCCTGTTGCCTGCCCATTATAGGACTCTCAACTTCTCCAGCACCATGTCTGCCTGCACACAGCCATGTCCCACCATGTTGACAATGAACTGAACCTCTGAACTGTAAGCCAGCCACCTCAATTAAATGTTTTCCATTAAGAGTTGCTGTGGTCATGGTGTCTCTCCACAGCAAGAGAAACCTTAACTAAGACAAAGGTGTAACTCAGCATACAATCAAAGGCAGCATAAAAGGCATAACGAGCCTGTGCCAAGTACTGCCACAAAACAAACTGAAAAGGAACAGAAAAAACCATCACCATGGGAAGAAGGCGATTTTAAACCAGTATTCTATTATGAACTCTAAAAATGTAACGAGGCAATGGCTATGCAGGAAGACGATGCAGCACAAGTAATAAAAAGCAGGAAGGGCTGGCCCAAGAACAGAAGCTATAGGCGGTATCTGAACCAGGGACTGGGAGCTCAGAAAGGAAAAGGGAAAACACACACACACACACACACACACACACACACACACACACACACACACTTCAGAGCTGAAAAACCAATTAAAAAACAAAACCCCCAGGGACATGTGGTAGCATTTTAAGGACCCTCTGTGAAAGATGAAATAAGAAAGGGGAAGAATGGGGAAATTTTAAAACTAATAGATAGGCAATGACAGAGAAGATGGGCAGATTGAAAACACATAAATACAATGCTGAGTCACCAAAGAAAAAGACCCAAAACAATGGAAGGGAACAAATATTTTAACATGTGCCTCAAATTCACCCAGCACCAGGTCAGTCCAAGATTCAGGGACAAAGGGAAGGCAGGCCTGCCTGCAGGCTCTCTTGAGGCAGTAGCTAGGAGCAGGTCAGAGGTACTCTGTCCCAGCCCCCAAGGAGCTGTTCATGCAAGGGTGGCCTAGAGAGGACAGGGCTGTGCCCCACCTCCTAGTCCCACCCAGCTTCAGTCACCCCTAGGGGCAGGATACAGCTAAAGTGGTAAATAAACAGTTCAGAAGATCTTTGGGAGCTAAGTCAGCAAACAGAAATCCACAAAGCTCAGAGCTTAACACCTGTGGTGGAATATGCATTCATCAGTATCAAATCTTGACATTTTACTAAAATTGCTTCTAATGCCTTTAAGGAAATGCCACTTTACTCATTTAGTTGGAGACTATTATGAGCCCCTCCTATCCACTGTCTTGACATTAAAGACTTTTGCAAACATGTTGTTACCTCGTAAGTATGTAGTTACGACAGTGTGTAACGTTTGTGTCTCACATGCTTTCTAATTTTATATAAACGCAACCACACTGAATGTTTCAATGTATAGTCTTCTTTATGCATGGGTGTCTTACTCGCATGTGTGTCTGTGTACCATTTCATGCCTGGCCCTGGCCCTGGCCCTGGAGGTCAGAAGAAGTTGTCAGATCCCCTGGAACTGAACTAACATGGGAATCAACCCAGGGTCCTCTGGAAGAGCAGTCAGTGTTATAACTACTGAGCCATCTCTCCAGCCCCTTCTTGGCTTTCTGAGACGGAGTCTCACATAGCCCAAGCTGGCCTTGAACTTGTAGTTCTTTTGTTTTGGTTTACCACGTGCTAGGACTAGAGACTTTGGCTATCACATTGAGCAGTCTCTGAAACTGATCTCTATCTGTACTTCTTCTGGCTTTGCTCCATTTTAACTACATCACAATGTTTTCATACATTCTTTTGTTGGTGGACCTTTATGAAAAAGGTATGACAGTTCCTTTTTTTTTACACCCTAAAACTCAAACTTATTGCCTACACTATGATCCTCAAATTGCACTCTAAGGACTAAAGAAATGAATCTGAATGTCCAAAAAAGGACTTCCTTGTGGATATACAGAACATTACTATAAATAAAGAATAGCCGTCTTTATTCATGATAGCTAAAAACTGAAAACTAAGCCATGATGCATCATACACCAGCACATCAACCAGCAATAAGAAGGAACAGAGTGGAGGCCGTGGTGGCACACGCCTTTAATCCCTGCACTTGGGAGGCAGAGCCAGGCGGATGTCTGTGAGTTCAAGGCCAGCCTGGGCTACAGAGTGAGTTCCAGGAAAGGCGCAAAGCTACACAGAGAAACCCTGTCTGGAAAAATCAAAAAAGAAAAAAGAAAAGAAATAAAAAAAAAAAAAAAGAAGGAACAGAGTGGAGCTGGAGAGATGGCTCAAAGGTTAAGGAGAGATGGCTCTTCCAGAGGTCCTGAGTTGAACTCCCAGCAACTGCATGGTGGCCTACAACCAACCATCTGCAATGAGATCTGGCGCCCTCTTCTGGCCTGCAGCATACATGCAGGCAGAGCACTGTATACAAAGAAAGTAGGAATCAAGTGACGCCTGTGCAACAGCATGGCGCAGCTGTGCTACACAGAAGAACCGTTACTCAAAGACAGGTGTAGGTCTCCACTCATACAGCTCTAGTGTTGGTGACACCAATCTGGGATGGAAAAAACAGAATTACAGATGCCTCTAGGGAAGGGAAGCAGGGATTAATACGGAAAAGAAACTTTCTGGGGTACTGGTGATGCTGTATAACTGAAAAAAGTACAAGTATACACGCATGAAATGTCATAATGAAACCCATTATTTTGTAAAATTAATAAATGTTAATAAAATGGGGGGGGGGAAGGTGGAAAGCAACTGAGAAAGACACCCAAAGTTGACTGCCTCTATACAAATGTAAACACGAATGCACGCACGCATGCACGCACGCATGCACGCACACACGCACGTGTACACACACACACACACACACACACACACACACACACACACGCTTAAAACTGGGCATGCTTAAGCCAGGCATGGTGACACACACTTTAATCCCAGCTCTTGGGGGTGGAAGCAGGCTGATCTAAATTGGAGGCCAGCATGTTCTACAGAGGGAGTTCCAGAATATTTAGGTTACACAGAGAAACCCTGCCTCATAAACAAACAAATAAATAAACAAAATTAAATAAAAAATCAGATAGGGTGATACACATCTGTAATTCCAGCAGTAGGGATGTAAAAGCAGGAGTATCAGTTCAAGGTCATCCTTGGCTACATTGAGTTTGAGATCATCCTGAACTACATGAGACCCTGTCTCAAAAAGCTTTATATACTTTTTATATTTTTTAGAATGAAGGTACAGCACAATGGTAGATACTTATTAGCATGTCCAAACAATCCCCAGCACTGAAAAATTTATACTTTATATTGATATTAAACTTTACCTCAAAAGAAAAGCTAATCAAAATATTGAACTCCCAATATTATACATACTGAAATATTTAGAGGTAAGTGTACAATCTTTTAATTTATTTTTGGAAATGTTTCCCCAAATAGATGGAACAGATGGAAATTTCGATTATAAAGTAAACACAGAGAAATGGCAATGATGAATTCTGGTTGTGGGTACATGGGTATTCATTATAAAATCCTTTCACCTCTGCTAATCACTTTAAACTTTCTGTAATAAAATGCAAACGAAGCTTTTCAACAATTAAGTTGTCCTAAACAAACTCTTGATTTCATCATGTCTATAGCTCCTCCTCCAAGCAAGAGACAAGCTACTCACCTGACTAGCCGTTGACACCTCTCTCTGGGGTCGACTTCTCAGGACAGCTGTTCAGCCCTACCTGTGACACATATACTGGACTGGGCACGTCACCATTTCCCAGTGACCCTCGCTCCACTGGACCAGTCTCCCAACTAGCACCCACTGTGCTCTACTACTCATCCCTGGGGCTGCTTCAAACAGTGCAGATCCTTATCAATCTCCCTACTGCATTTCCTCTGCCCACTTCCACCACATCATTGCTCTCCGTTTAAATATGCCAAGGTCCTTTGGCTTGTCACTTCTCTACCTGAATAGTCCTCCTCACTTCATGGATGACTTGGTCACAGGTCTCTGCTTACGTTACAACAGACACCTTCACTGAACATCCAACACAGCACGTCCCTCACCCTGTCTTTCCTTTCCTTCTCGGTCACGACCACCAGACATGTATTTGTCTTTTTCTGTTGCTTACCCTTTCCTGACCAGAACTGTGTTCCAAGCAGTCAAAAACGATATACTAGCATCGGTAGTAGTAATGAATTCAAGAATGAAACATTTCTGCTTCCTTCCCAGGTCACTCCACTCTGAGAAGCATTGTTAATTTTTTCCTTAGTGCTTGGCGATAGATACCTACTTATTCTGTCACCTTCCCAGAGATCATTTATTCTTTAGCAAATTATTTGTGTGTGCATACATATGTCTATCAGAGAACAACTTGCGGGAGCTGGTTCCTGCGTGCTGATCTATTGTGTACGCCAATATACTGTGTACCCTAATAAAACTTACCTGGGGTCAGAGAACAGAACAGCCACTAGATTAGTCATAGAGTCCAGACAGAGATGGCACACGCCTTTGCCTTTAATCCTAGCATTCCGGAGTCAAAGATCCATCCGGATCCCTATGAGTTCAAGGTCACACTGGAAACAGAGCTAGACATGGTGGCACATGTCTTTAATCCCAGGACTTGAGATCTCATGTCTTGCTTGGGAAAAATGCATGCCTTTAATCCCAGGAAGTGATGGCAAGAAGCAGAACGGTATATAAGGTGTGAGAACCAGGAACTTGAGGCTTTTAAGCTTATAGCAGCAGTTCAGCTGAGATCCATTCGGGTGAGGACTCAGAAGCTTTCAGTCTGAGGATTCGTGGAAACAGGATCAGATGAGGAGTTGGCGAGGTGAGGTTGGCTGCGGCTTGTTCTGTTTCTCTGATTGTTCAGCTTTCACCCCAATATCTGGCCCCGGCTTTTTTATTAATAAGACGGTTTAGCAATTCATGTTACACCTGAGGGCTGAACTCAGGTCAGATTTCTAGGAGGAGCCTTTACCTATTCTATTGAGCCATCTCACTAACCCTGAGATAACTTACTGGTGAGTGCCATGTCTCTTGCAGAAAGCTGGCACCCTGTCCATGTGGGCGTCTACCTGCAGCATCTGGATTCACAATATCCACTTACCAGGCTGCGCATCTCACCACGGAGTGTTGAGGAGCTGAGGAAGCACAGCCACTGTCCCTGGACTGTGCTTTAGCTCTTGTCTCACTAGGCCTGCCTTCTTGTCTGCCTTTTTCTGTTTTTTCTTTTAGGCAGGAACTTGGAGCCCAAGTTGGCTTAGAACTTACCTTGTAGCCAAGGATGATCTTAAATTCCTGATCCTCCTGCCTCCATCTCCCAGGCACTGGAGTTACTCTCTGCCTTGACTCTTAGGGCAAGTCCACAGAGCCTATCAAAAGGCCAGGCTTTTGTCACCCCAGATGTCAGGAACAGCTCTGCCTTTAGAGGACAAGACACTGATGATCCTGTTGAGAGACCAGCTGTAAAGTTTTCCATGGACTTTAGTTCACAGGAGAGTGCAGACACCTCTGCTGACAGCTGATACCTCATGAGTGCTGGGGTCATGAAAGAGTCAGTCCTGCTCTGAGCCGGCCAGCAAGGGCATTGGTAGAGGTAAAGTACATGTAATAGGGAGGCACAGCTTCGAAGTCCCAAATACTTCGGTGCAGGCAGGACAGTTTTCTAGAGGAGGGACGTGGTTGAAGTGTGCATGGATAAATGATGGGGGGGGGGGGGGGGGGGCCCTGGCGGCGCACGCAGTGGAAGAGTGGAAGGAAACACCTTACTAAAGGCAAGCCTGTGGACAACAGCACATGGCTGGACTTCCTGCAAAGGGAGGTGCTAGAAGCCTTGTCTGTTAAATTTCCTTGAATTTTTGATCCTCCTGCTCTACCTCCTGATTGCCTGGATTACAAGTATGTGTGATTATGCCCGGCTCAGCAGGGTTTATATGAGTCCCCTTCACATCCAGGCAGTGCTGGAGGTTAAGTACAGGTATGGGTCCTAAATAAGCACTCTACTACTGAATTGTATCCCAGCCCTGGCTTGTCTTTTCTTATTATGTGAGATTATCATTATGCATTATTAGCTAATTATCATTATGCATAATTCATTTTTTCTTAGCTTCAAATCTGCTTCATGATTTATAAAGTATTAAAAACATAAAGATCAAAGCTTTATACTATTTGCACAAGATTAAGTGCTGAGTTACATAAAATAGTTAGATACAAACAATGGAATAAATGAAACAATAACAAATCTTCAATGCAGAAAAACCATAGATGTAGATTGTGGGGGGGCCATCCCACCCCCACTTTTCCCCAGGGTACTCTTGAGCAGGAGCAGCAGGAAATAGAAGGACAGAGGGGAGAGGAAAAGAAAATATAGGACAGCCTCGGGAGGGCCTGGATCCTAATCCATGGGCCCCCGACTGTCTCTTCCAAAGGGCTTTTAAAGGAATGCCAAGGGGTGGAGCAAAAGACCTCCCCCAGCACAGCCAAGCGCAGACCATCTCAGACACCTGGTACTCAGGCCTGTGGTCCAACCATCCTCTTTATGCAGACCTGCTGGGTAAAGCCACCAGGAAACCTAAATGGGCTCCAGCAGTGGATAAAGGGAAATAGACTTTATTTTTAAATAAAGGGGAATAGACATTATTTCCTTGATACTTAGGCATGAGCAACATGTACTGACTCTTTCCAAAGAGCACAGCATGGAATGGGAAAAAAGACTAACTTTACAATGGCAAAGATTACTGCAGATAAGTGATCAGTGGTCAACATCAGTCACAATAAATCATGCAAGTATACAACTTAATTCAATGAAATGAAAATGCATTTTACATCAATCCAACCATTATTAAAAAAACAAAGAAGGGCTGGAGAGTTGACTTAGCAGTTAAGAATACTTGTTACTCTTGCAAAGGTTCAAGTCACAGCAGCTCACAACTATCTGTAACTCCAGTCCTAGGAATCTGATGCCTTCTCACCTCTGTGAGCACCAGACAAGCACATTGCACACATACATATGTGCAGGTACTCTACACATCATCAGACAAGCACATGGTACACACACATACATGCAGGCAAAACACTCTACATACAAAATAAATAAATCCAAAAATATTCAAACAAACAACCCCACCAAATTCCTAAAGAAGGGCAGCCTACAAAACATTTTATCAGCTTTCTTAAAAATGTTCAGTCATGAGAAACCAGGCAAAGCTGAAAACTGTCAAAGGAAATGAAGGACCCAGAATCTGAATGTGCCATGTTTAAGATACGCTTGTGGAGGGTAAAAACACAATGATGCATCATTTGGGACATGGAGGCAGGACGGTCAGAAGTTCAAGGCCAGCTTGAGCTGGCTATAGACAGTGAGAGACCCTGTCTAAATAGGTGAGAGTCCTACCCAGAACCATATAAATTGGTTATGTATGATAGTGCACACCTGTGATGCCAGCACTGGCGTCATTAAGTTCAAAGCTATCCTCAACTACAAAAAGAATTCAAGGCGATCCTGAGATTCATGGGAACCTGTTTCAAAGACAAAGAAACCAAACAAGCATTAGGTAGAAACAAAGGAAATCTGAATAATACTTTAGCTAGCTAATAATAACAACACATCAACACTGACTTATTAATGACAAATATATCATGATAACAAACGTGTGACACTGGAGTATAATATACTGGAATGTGTGTGAAGCAAGCAGGGATTCTACCTGCTCTGTTTTTCTGTAAGCTTACAACTATTAAAACAACAACAACAACAAAACTACAGAAAGAATATAAAAGAGTTGGGGGTGGGTGAGCAGAGACAGGCGGATCTCTATGAGTTTAAAGGCATCCTGATCTACATAACAAGTTCAGACCAGCCAGGGCTACAGTGAGCTCTTGTCTTACAGCCTTGACAAAAGCAGTTTAGTTAATTCTCCTACCCATCATCTATCAAATTAACATTACCAAGGTCCTACTGCATATGTCTCCGAACCACTGGGTTAACTAAGTATAAAAAGATGAACAAAGGTAGGCCGGGTGGTGCAGGCCCATAATCCCTGCTGTGTCAGACGCTGAGGCAGGAGCGTTGCAAACTCAAGGCCAGCCCAGGCAACTTATTGAGACCCTATCTCAAAAAGTAAAAAGGTGGTATTTATACAGGAGGCTCTAGGTTCAGGGCTTAAGTCAGTAACTGTTGTCTTGTTTAGAGGCCAGAACTACAGAGTACAGAAACAAAGATCTGGGAGGTCTGCACACAGAAGGCACGGCAAACACCCAGGAATAGAAGTATGTTGGCTGGGTCTAACTTTATTTCAAAGAAACAGGGTTTTATTATCCTGCCCAGATTAGCCTGGGAGCCTGGGCTCAAACAACCATGCCTCCGTTTATCAGTAATCAGAACAACAGGTATAAACCCTGAACCTGGCTTACTGGAAAATAAAGAGACCTGTGCCTTCAAGAACCTTTGTAGTTTTGTTTTGTTTTTTTCCTTCATGAAAATGAATTACACCAAGAAATGTTGTAGAGGTTAACAGTTTATTAGCCACAGATTTTAGGGCATGTACAATAAGTTCTTCAGAAAATGCCAAATTTTCTAAATGTATAAAGGAATTTTATACTCTTTCTACATAACCCTGGCTGTCCTGGAATTCACTCTGTAGACCAGGCTGGCCTTGAACTCAGAGATCTGCCTGCCTCTGCCTCCCGAGTGGTAGGATCCTGAGTGCCACCACAGCCCAACTTGGAATCAGAGATCCTCCTGCTCTGCTCAGACTGAAGGTGTGGGTCACCATGCCTGTCAGAATTTTATACATTTTAAAGCAGGTAAATGCTAAACTAGAATGACTGGGGAAAGACACCAAAAATGAACTTTAAAATATGAAAGATGACACACTTAAGATGATGCTTAAGGAAATACCCAGCAAGTATAGAACTTGCCCTGCAGACCAGACTGAGCTCTCTCTCACTCAGAGCTCCACCTGCCTCTGCCTTCCAATTGCTAGGATTAAAGGCCTTTGCCTGCCACCCTGACAGAGGGCTAGAACAGTTTTTTAACTTCTGGTAAGGAGGAGGGGTATATAAGAGCCAGAATGGCTTGCATTTATTGGTCATCAATTCTGTGATTGGCTGATATGGAAGGAGTCTCTGTACATAACCAAATTTAATCTTTTTCATCAGTACACATCAGCTCTTCAGAAAGGTTTCACCAAGACATTATATGCCTGCATAAAACCTTGATCATATTAATCTCCCATTATCCATTCTTTTCAGTTTCTCTTTATAGACAGGCCCCTTTCTATTTCATGCCCCCCCCCAACATGTGGTGAGGATCAAACTCATGATAGGTAAGGGCTCTACCACTAAGCTATTCCTGTTGTCTTTAATTTTAATCTAGGTTTTGCATGAGAAAACATGTCATACTTGCCTTTCTGAATCTTACCTCCCTTTTATGTCCCAGTTCCATCAATTTTCTTGCAAATATAACTTTGTTCTTTATGACTGAATAATACACGATTATGTAAATCTAGCACATTTTCTTTATCCATTCATGTGGACAGTCGCCTAAGATGATTCTGTAACTTAGGTATTGTAAATATCGATGTCATAATAAACACTTGTAGATACCTTTATTTTACTTATTTATTTGGTTTTTCGAGACAGTTTCTCTGTGTAGTCTTGGCTGTCTTGGAACACACTATGTAGTCCAGGCTGGCCTCGAACTCACAGAGATCCGCCTGCCTCTGCCTCCTGAGTGCTGGGATTAAAAGCGAGTGCCACCACTGCCCAGCTTGGTACCTTTGTTTTATGTTGACTCAGTTCCTTTGGGTGTATGCTCAAGAGAATCATCGTAATTTTGCTTTCACTACAGCTACTCTGCTCACATACTAATTAATGACACAACCGCAGTACATTTCTAATGACTTATTTGCATTAATTTATTTGGCTTGGCATGTGATACTCAAAGGCAACCCCGTGTTAACAACATCCCTCCCCTTCAGTATATCTTGATCAAGTTCACCCACACTGGCCACCAGTTTGGTTTTTTAGGGCAGTGTCTCATATAACTTAGGTTGGTCTTGAACTCACTACAGAGCCGAGGCTGTAGGCCATCCGCTCTGCTTATACTCATTTAACACACGTTTATTCGAAGACATTCACTCGCACCCCTCTGCTTTCTTGCCCTCACAGGTCAGGTCTCTAAGCTGTACAAGATGACAGCAACCATAAAAGGAGGCAGCTCCCGCCCTCTCTGGAGCCATGATGAGCATTCCTGGTTGTTTGAGCTTTCTTAGGCCTAGGACTTTCTCTGATTCTGTCGCCTACGTGTAAATCCGGGAAAGTGAGCTTCTGCCGGGGTCGGAGACCACCCTAAGAATCGGAAAGAGCATGCCAAGCAAGGGGCCGGTGCGGGAGAAAGGCGGAGGTCCCTCCCGGGCTCGGAGGGCTCCCGAGCAGCGCGGCCCACAAGGTCGGCGCGGGGGCCGCCTCCAGGTGCATCTCGGGAAGGGCCGGCCCGCGCGGCTGGCGGCCTTGGCGCCCTCGCACCCGCTCCCTCGGGACGAGGGCGGAGGAACGCCCGTCGGCCGGCCTCCGGGAGCCTTTCCTCGGCTCCCGCGGCCCGGGGGTCTTTGTTCCCGGGGCGGCGGCCCGCCCGGGGGCTGTGCGCGGAGTGTCACCCGCACAGCCGGCCGGTGGATGTGCAGGCCGTCCGAGGTAGCGGGAGCCCCGAGCTCGGAGGGCCGGCTCCCGGCGCGGCGCGGCCCGCCACGTCCCGGCAGCGCCCGCCGGCGGGCGGCTCTCCCGCGCAGGCGGTTCGCGCGGGCTCCGCAGGGCGCGCTGGCGGCGGGGCAGGGCGGGGCGGGGCGCGCGGCCCGGGCGCGCACGTGGTGCGCACCGTCGCGGCCTCCGGCGGGGCCGCAGAGACCCCGCACTCGTGGGGGGACAGCTCCCGCTCCAGTCCCGAGAGGTGGTCAGCGGCCGGAACGCGAGTCTAGGACCAGGAGGGGAGGCCGCGGCGCAAGGCTTTCCCGCGCGGGGTCTGCCGGGGAGCCGCGGGCAGGAGCGGAGTGGCCGGTCGGCCGGGCGCGGGGACAGGGCTGACACGTACCTCATCCAGGGGCCGAGGCGCCTCCCTGTGCGCGGCCGCCCGGGGGTGGGGGGGGGGGGGACGAGCCGCTCGTCGCCCGGCGGATGGCTCCGGCTCCGCACGTGGCGGGCCGCGCGCTCCGGCGTGTTTACATTCTGCGGCCGCTCCACGTTGTGCCGCCGTCCTCGCTCGCCATTGGCCGGCTCCGCCGCCGTCCTCGCTCGCCATTGGCCGACTCCTCAGCCACCGCCTCGCTCCTCCCGGAGGGGCGGGCCCTCGGCTCCCGCTCCCCGCGTCGCGGGGAAGACCCGGGTTCCCCGCGGCCTGGGCGGGGCCGCGTCCCTCCCCGGCAGTGCCGCGCTGAACGGCCGTCTGACACCCCGAGGTCCCAGAGCCACCGTGGGAGGGACGGGGGCGAGCTGGACGGCGTGCGGGAGCCGGCGGGGGGGACACCAGCACGGGGAGGAGTCTCGCCGGGGGCTGCAGCCGCGGCGCGCGCAGGTGAAGCGCCGGGCGGGCGGGCGGGCGGGCGGGGCGGAGGAGCACGGGCCGGGAGGGCAGCCTGCGGCCACTCGGCGCCCGCCCGCGCGCACTGAGGGCAGGGCGCGGCGCGCGCGGGCGGGCTGGGCGGGCGCGGGCGGGGGAGGGGAAGGCGCCGTCCGAGGTGTCAGTCTGCGGCGCATGCGTGCGGGGCGGTCCGGGCCAGGCCTATATATTGAGTTGGCGCCGGCGCCAGCTGAGCCGAGCGGTAGAGGGTCTGGCGGTGAGGAGGTGCTGACTCCAGGGGGGATGCGGGAGGGAAGGGAGCCCAGTCTGGCGGGAGCCATGGGAGAGGAAAAATGGGGGGATGAGAACCAGGAGCCTGGGATTAATGGGTTCCCGAGGTCGGTCCCTGTCAGAATCCTTGTCAGGGGGCCAAGGAGAAGCGGGGGATGGAGGGCACCCCTAAGTGAGAGGCCACGGAAAAGCCTCTCAGTCCACCCTCATTTGGGGAAGGTCTCCCGCGCGAGAGGATGGAGGTGTGGATCGTTTACGGGGGAGGAATTCTTGGACAGAGTTTCCACCTTTAACCCCCCCCCCCCTTTTTGCTCTTCTGGAATTGGGGTCCTGTCGCCCCTGCAGGCGGCACTGCCCGCCGGGTGGGGCTGGGAAGAAGGGAAGGGAGCCTGAAGGACGTGACACCAGACTCGGTTCCCTCCACCCACGGCTCCCCGCCACTGCGGCTCTCCAAATTGGCGCGGAACCGGCTTCTCCAGAGCCCGCTCTTGGAGGCTGGTCTAGGCGCCTGGCGGGCCGAGGCCGGGGTGTGCTTTTCCCACCCTGGTTGTTCAGGGAAATGCATGCATGGCCGAAAAAAACTCATCTGAAGGGTGCTGGGGTACTTTGCACATTTCTGAACGCACTTTCTTTTCGAGTGTACGTTCATTTGAGGAAATGAAGGCATGTATGTAAAATTACTATGAGATAATTAATGTATTTCAGAAGATATGTTTTTAAAGGCTCAGGCCACCTTCTGGTAACATTAGCTGTTAATTTCTGAATCGGTTTTGATTGGCAATTGGAGAATATGAATGACTATGTTCTTGATTGTGGTTTTTCTTCTCCCCCATTTAGAGGTTTCATAGGCCTCAAAGAAGAGAATGTCGAGACGCAGGTAACACTGTTAGTCTTGGAGATGTGTTTCAAAATTATCTGCTGCCTTTGAAATACATGACTTACTAATTAAACTTCCTAAAATTCATCACAGTAGCCGTTTACAAGCTAAGCAGCAGCATGCCCAGCCCAGCCAGCCAGACTCTCCACAAGAAGCCCAGATAATTCAGGCCAAGAAGAGAAAAACGGCCCAGGTGATTTAAGGAAAATGAGGGAGGAAGGGAGGAAATTCCTTGTTGAGAGCTTACTTTACAGTGGTCTTTTCTATTCTCCAGGATGTCAAAAAAAGACAAGAGGAGATCACCAAGAAGCATCAGTATGAGATTAGGGTAATGCAGAACTGGACTGAGTGGGTTGGGGAAGGACAGGAGTAGAGTTGTGTGTGTCACTGCCTTACAGTGGAAGATTTCTCTGACACTTCAATGATCTTAGAGGTTAACAGGAAGGAGTTTCATAGATGCCTGAATCCTACAGCTGCAGTGTAGTTGGCCTAGAAGCAGCTGGTTCCTTTCTGTAAATCCCTCCCTCTCCCTCTCGGAGCTGGCTGGTATACCAGGGCCCGCCTATATACCGCTCTTTGTTCACTCGGAGACTGCAGTGGAGGGTCCTAACAGCTACTGAGTTGGCATCAAAGGATGTGAGCTCACTGACAGCAGCCTGGTACCCAGCCTTTTGCTACTTCTATGTTCACTTGGAGATGGTAATTCTTTTGAAAAGATCCTCTAAGTGACTCCACTTGACTGAATTTTTAAGTTTTTTGCATTCAAAAGTTTTCTCAACTATTAGAAAACACTTTTTTAAAAAAGAACTCTTATTTTTTAAAACAAGTATCCTTGCTAAAATTTCTAAATTCAGAGAACTGCAGCTATTTCTTTTAAAATTATTGTACACTACAAATGCATCCGTTATTATTTCAATACTTAATGTCTTATGCAGGAATTGTTATCTATTTTATGAAGACTGGTATGAATTGTATGGCTTTAAAATTAGGTAGGAATATCAAAGTGGCTATCATTTGAAGATGCAGAACAAAAGCCATGGTTTCTTGATACACTAATAAGTTTTTCTGTTTTGTTTTGAAATGACAGAATTGTTGGCCACCTGTCCTGTCTGGAGGAATCAGTCCTTGCATTATCATTGAAACACCCCATAAAGAAATAGAAACAAGTGACTTCTCTAGGTTTACAAATTACAGATTTAAAAATCTTTTCATTAATCCTTCGCCTCTGCCAGACTTAAGGTAAAAAAAATTTTTTTTTCAGTAATTTAATATCAAAGGTTAAAACAGTAGACTTAATATAATGCCATGTATTTCTTAATACTTCCCTTACTGAGAAACATGCATCCTACTACAGGAGACATTATTTGCAAGTGTTAGCAAATGATATATTTAAAACTCAGACTCTCTTTCACTTGCTTGTTGAATGCTTCCAAACTTAGCAGAACTGAACTATCTTTTAAATGTAGCTTAAATAATTCTCTAATTAAAATGGGAACATTTTTAATGGCATTTTCAATTGACTTCTCCCCACTCATTCCTAACCAAGCTTACTATCTATCGGTTGTGATATGACCAAGAGGTACAGCTTATAGAAAACATCTATGTAGTAACTGACATTTAACTTAAATAGCTCATCCCCACGCCTGCTACTTTGTTCCACCTTAACCTCGTTATAAATGGTACTGCTACATAAGTGATGCTGCTGACATAATTTCAAGTGTTGGGACTTCATTATCATTGTGATCATATATTTTAAATATTTTTCTAGTTTGCTTTTAAGAATTTCCTTAAACCATAACTTTTATCAATTCTAAGAAAGGGCTGATAATACAGAATTCCTGAAATTTACCAATAAAGCAGAAATCTTTTGAGTTTACTCCAAGAGCTACTTTTTTGAATTTGTAATTGGAAGTTGAAGTGGGATGTGTGAATGAAACACGGAGTTGTGCTATTGTAAACAGAACTTTTATAGATGACAAAATATAAATTATTCCTCCCCCTGCCATGTAGCTGGGGATGTTCACAGGAGGTTTGGCAAAACATGCTACAAAAGGAGAACAGATACGTACATGACAAACATTTTGAAGTTCTTCATTCTGACCTGGAACCACAGATGAGGTCAATACTTTTAGACTGGCTTTTGGAGGTATGTTCTAAAAATAGAAATTTCTTTTGTGTCTACAATGGAAAAATGTTTAGATGGGTATGTGCTTTCCATGTGACTTCAGGGTATGCTGTCCATGACCAGAAAACTACCTTTTGTGAGGCACAAACTGTAGTTTGTGGCACCTAAAGTAGAATATGACCTGATTTTTCCCTTGTACTGCTGGAGATTGAACCTAGGGCCTTGTGTGTGTTAGGCCAGCACTGAGCTACAACCCCAGACCAAACCAACTTTTTAAAGAGTAAAATCAGGAGTTGGTGGTATAGCTCAATGGTAGTGTGTCCTCAGTACCAAAGCAGAGAGTAAAATCCTACGAACACGTCTTCTATGATACAACCCAAAACAAAATCAGAAATCCCTGACATGCAAGGTTTGGTTCTACTTGAGGGTACTAAAGGTGAATAGAATGTATAGTTAGTTGACCAGGTTTTGAATACAAGCAAAGAACCAGCTTAGGCTTCCAAGCCCTCAGACATCCTTTTTCTGCATTATCAAAGCCAAATCATGAATTTTGATTTTATACCATAAACCCTCTAAATCCCATTTAGCTTCCTTTATAATATACTGCTGTCCCTTTCAGAAATACACTACTTCTGGGTGTTGTGGTGTATGCCTGCAATCCACAAAGGAACGTTGGGACTTTACACCCAACCTGGACTAATAGAAAGTGCAGATCAGAGGATTACACACTGAAACCTTGCCTAAAAAGTAAATAATTTTAAAGAATATATCTGTGCATATACACACACACAAACACACACACATCATCAATTTAAGGAGTATCGAGTGAGGCTGAAATCTATAGATCTATGCAAACATTTTTTTCTTATTTGGGTCCATTCCCTTTCTCTGGAATATTGTAAATCCCTCAAATGATTGCTGAGGAAACAATTACTTGATGTTAAACTGATTTTTTTTTTTTTTCTCGAGACAAGGTTTCTCTGTGTAACTTTGGTGCCTGTCCTGGAACTCACTCTGTAGCCCAGGCTGGCCTTAAACTCACAGAGATCCCCTGGCTCTGCCTCCTGAGTGCTGGGATTAAAGGTGTGCTCCACCACTGCCCAGCTAAACTGATTTTCTTACAACCCTGGATATTTGCTGTGTAGTCTGACAGGAGATGATGGATTGTGGCAGGAGGATTTACAAGTTTCACAAAAGCCAGTACAGGTTATAATGATATTATCTCAAAATAAAATAAGGGGCAGGTGGGGTATATGTAGCTTAGTGGTGAAATGCTTGCCTAACACACAGTGAAGCTCTATGTTTAATCCCTAATATTGGGGGAAAGGTGTAGATTCATTCTAAGGGAGGAAGACTGGGTGGACTTTCGGTAGATCTCAGAAATGTTTCCAAGACTATAAGAGGAAGTTGTGTTATCAGGTCCTTAAAGATTATCCGTTGGCCAGGCAGTGGTGGCACACGCCTTTAAATCCCAGCACTCAGGAGGCAGAGGCAGGCTGATCTTTGTGAGTTCAAGGCCAGCCTGGTCTACAGAGTGAGATCCAGGAAAGGCGCAAAGCAAGAAAGTTGTTGGGTTTGCCTTTTTTCATTGGAGAATCTGAAAATTGAACATCATGTCTACTTCTGAATATCTAGTGATAATAGCATCAATGCATCAGAATTATGTTAACTAAAAGTTTTTACTTTGTATGATGACAAACTTATTTTCAATCTGAATGTAAAAATAAGTTCACTGATTGAAAAATCTTAAAATTTCAACATATGGAAAAGATGTCTTTGAAATACAACATCTATTCCTGATGTTAAGATTTTTAATTATGTGTAAATTGAGTGCAGGTATCCAGATCAGAAGAGAGCATCAGATCTCCTGGCACTGAGGTTATAAGCAGTGATGAGCTGCCTAGATTCTGACGCTAGGAACCAGTACAAGCTCTTTGTTACTGAACCATTCACCAGGTGTCTGATTTTAAAACAGTATAAGATAGGAACAGAATAGTTCTTTAATGTACTCAGTGTTTGTTTTAAACTCATCTATTACTGTTCCTGTTTTCTCATTTCCAAAAAGGAGATAATGGTACCCAATTCATGGAGTAAGTTTGAAAAGTTAGAAACTTTCCTTTAAGTATGGGAATGGGCAATATTATTAACAATAGTGAAAATGAGGGTAATGCTCATTAAATCAAAAACATGGAAAGATTTTTATATTAGCCTGCAATAGATATGAAAGTGAAAAACTGTAAAACTAAGGATAAGGATAATAGGCTCACTATCAGTACATGCTAATCCTTCCTTTATGTTAATATTAGCATCCTAAAGAAGTTTAGCCTTGGTAGAATAAAGATAACTTTGTAATTTGGATAAATTCTAAAGGTGATATTTGAATATTTGGTTCTTCAGGTATGTGAAGTATACACACTTCATAGGGAGACATTTTACCTTGCCCAAGACTTTTTTGACAGATTTATGTTGACACAAAAAGATATAAATAAAAATATGCTTCAACTCATTGGGATTACCGCATTGTTCATTGCTTCTAAACTTGAGGTAAGTTCTTAAATTTCATCCAGATAAATTTACTGTAAACCTAGTTTTTAAATGAACATATTAATCTCAGGATACTAATATTTTCTGTATTAAATCTTTAGGGAATAGGAATTGTTTTATTATATAGATGGAAGAAGAAGAAATTATCATAGGTCTTTATTTTAGTCTCTAGCTTACATAGTTTATCTATATTAGTCTCTAGTTTAGATGCTGGGAATTGTATGGCTCATTTCACCAGATAAACTAATGGTGTTGTTACATAATTATACAGCACATGGATTCAAAAGAATGGTCTTTAAACACTAACAATCAAATGAAAGAAATGTTATGTTGGTTAAGGATAATGGTCTGTCAAACCTACTTTTTCCTGTCTGGTGTTGGTTGGTGTCACGTTAGAAGAAAACTATTGCTTCAAACTTTCAAATATATATAATCACCTATTACTTTTTAACACACTGTTGACTCTTACCAATATTCTTTGAGGCTGGTACCGTTTTGAGGGATTATGAGCACATTAATATCCCAAAGTATGTTTTTCTCTTCCAGTGTGCCATCTGAGCTGTTTAAGTTATCTCCCAGCTCTGCAGCATACAGCACATCAGTTTGTAGAGTCAGCCTGTCCTCTTGTTTCAGGCATCTTTGTGTATTGAAATCATGATCTTTAGTTTGCTGCCATGTGCCAGCTTTATCTAACCCTCTGATAATTTCTAATTCTTGGGACTTTTAAGACAAATTTGCCATTAGCCAAAACACAATCCTCTCCCTCTGCTTATACTGGGATTGAAGCCCAGGGCCTTGCCCATCCTTAGTGCCCAGCACTTTGAGACAGGGATCTAACAATGTAGTCCTAGCTGGCCTGTAACTTACTACATAGACCCCAAAGAGATTTGCCTGCCTCTACCTCCTGACTGCTGGGATTAAAAAAATGTGTGTTGCTACACCTGGCCTTGTTTTGTTTTTTAAAGTATAGGTGTAACCAAAGCAAGCATAAGCCCAGTATTTTCTGATAATTAATACTTTCATACTAAGTTAATGTGTTTGGTTTCTAGACCTTATTTTTGCTTTTTTGAGTGGCCCAAGCTAGCTTTGAACTCAGTCTGCAGCTGGTAGATGACTTTGATCTTCCTACCCCACTTCCCAAGGAACAGGATGACAGGTCTATATGCAGTGCCAGGATTTCCTACACGTTAGGCAAGCGCTCAACCAAATGAGCCACACTGGAACTTATTTGTAGAGTGTCTTGTTCTGGTCTGACCACCAGACAAGACAGTATTAAAAAGGTTGCTAATTGTTTCTTAATTGAAATAACAGATTAAGATACGCATTGTTAGACACAAAGTCAACTCTAGAAAAATAAACTTGAAAATCAGTACAGTAGCTAGCCACAGATAACTACATACAGAAAGAAAATCTTACACAGTTTTGATTTATAATCACTTTGTGAAGCTGTCCTTAAAACTGAAGCATACATATAGTCTGTATATAATTCTTTTTGTTTTTGTTTAAAATGCTTAATAAAAATTTTCTAAATTAAAGGAAATCTACGCTCCCAAACTCCAAGAGTTTGCTTATGTCACTGATGGTGCTTGCAGTGAAGTAGATATCTTAAAGATGGAACTCAATATATTAAAGGTAATAATAATGCACTTTCTTAGTTGCAACTTTTTAATATAATAGTTATGAGTGAACTTCTGATATAACAAATAGCCAACTCAGTAAGTTAAAGGCATTTCACTGCCAGGGAGGCATGACAACATTTTGATTCCTGGGGGACATACATGATGTAAGTTGTCCTCTGACCTCCATATGGAAGTCACAGCATGTACCTACACCCGAAATAAATATAATTTTGAACAAATTATTAAAAAGCCAAAATTGATGTTTTAGTCTGAGCATAGAAAAGGTTAAAAGGTTAATGCAGTAAAATATTGATATTGATTGATGGTTGGTAAGGAAATTTACTTAACCTCTAAACTCCACTATGTACATAATGTAATATATATGTAGTTATTAATGGGCACTTTAAAATTTCCTTGACAGGCATTAAAATGGGAACTTTGTCCTGTAACAGTCATTTCCTGGTTGAATGTTTTTCTCCAAGTTGATGCTGTTAAAGATGTTCCTAAGGTTCTTCTACCTCAATATTCTCAGGAGACGTTCATCCAGATAGCACAGGTACTGACCCTGTTACTGAACATAGCTAATGTTATTGTCGATTACAGATTTGTTTCATACACAAACACACACACACACACACACACACACACACACACACACGTAAGTCCTGGACTATACAACAAAATGGCATACTGAGTTAAATCTTAGTTGACAAAATAACTTTTGACCCATAAAATTCTGTCCCTGGTATTTACATTGCTTAATAACTTAGAGGAAAAAAATCTTAAACTTTTATGGGTATTCCCATTTTTTTAGGGTTTGGGATTAGAGTAAAATACCTTTTTAATATAAAATGGAGAAAAATGTTTTCAGCTAGTTGTCTTAAAGGTTTTGTTGTTGTTGCTTTGGCAGGGTTTTTTTTTTTGTTTTTTTTTTGTTTTTTTTTTTTTGGTGGTGGTGGGGTTCCGAGACAGGGTCTCACTATATAGCTCTGAGTGTCCTGGAACTCACTATGTAGACTAGGCTTGCCGCAAACTCAGAGATCCACCTGTCTTTGCCTCCCAAGTGCTGGATTAAAGGTGGAATATAACCACTATGCCCAACCTGCTGTTATTCAATTCTAATTAAACTTTTCTAGACCAGCATATAACATATTCTAACAAAGTAACTACAGAGGTTGAGAATCCCATTCTTTGCATATAAGTAAGACTTGAAGGGTGCAATTCTACCATATATAAATGTGAAGAAAATCTTCAATTTTATTCTATGTAGGATGTGAAATTGGAATTTAGGGATGAGTATTAAGTCATTGGGGTTAGACCTTGTGTTTTAAAATCTGTTAGCCAACAAAGATGTAGAATGTTTCTAGTATATACTGTTGAATATCCCTATTCCAAAACTTCGAAAATACTCTAAAATTAGAATTTTTGAATGTGAAAAATTCCACATGACTTCAGTAACTGGTCAAAAAGAACAGGCACACTAAAATTATTCTATAAAATCGAATACATGTATATGTATATGAGGTATATGTAAGTGAATCAAGTTTTGACATGAATCTCAACTCCCAGGGGATCATCTTATACATGCAAATATTGCAAAACCCAAAACGTCCAGATTCCAAAACATTTATCTTATACATTACTCAAAGAATATTCAATCTGGTAGTATTTCACTTCCAACTCCTCCAGTTTATACCATTTACTCACTGAACAGGAATCGCCTTAACCCCCTGAAAATCTAGCTAGCCTTCACACCGTTCCAGCTGCTCCTTTACCAGTTGTATCTAGTTGCTGCTGAGACTACTGTGTTCTAGTTTGTCTACCGTGCCCTTTTTAAAGTATAGCTTTCCTGGATTTAGAATCTTACAGTAGTTTCAATAAGCTTCGGTAGTAGCGCTCTAACTTCTAAAGGGCCTTTATTTATAACTTAACTAGGTTACCTCTACTTTCCTTGCCTTCAACTGCTCACCTTGGCTAAGGAAGGAAGGTATTCCTTGCTTATTTCATAATTAAGTAGTATTACCTTTGATAATGTTCTTCTATCTCAAACATTCTCTACCTACCGATCTTCCTGCCTAGCTTATCTAATTTAGAAACCTTCCCTAGCTTTTTCCAATCTAGATGAAGTGCACACCCTGCTAATACATTATCACTGTGTTCCTACAATCCTGTCCTGGTTTTTCCTCCCTTCCCTGCAATACTGAAACTAGGTGGTGGTTATTTGCCTTAGAGTTAGCAGTGATGGTATATGTTCTATAGAGTAGGGACATACTCATCTTTCTTTTAAATTACTTACACTTTTGCTTTTTCCTTGTTAGCTTTTAGATCTGTGCATCTTAGCCATTGACTCATTAGAATTCCAATACAGAATTCTGGCAGCTGCAGCCTTATGCCATTTTACCTCCATTGAAGTGGTTAAGAAAGCCTCAGGTATGACTATTTTGTTCACTTTTAGTGGTACTTGGGAACTTTAATACCTTATCGAGCACACAATTTAATAATTTATTCACTTTTTTTTTGTTAGAAATACTATACAGCCCTTAGTGTATCAAATTCATTTGAAGCAAATAAGCACAGTTCTACCTTGTATGAATATGTACTGCGTAAAAAGCTGAAGCGGGCCTAAAAAGATGTCTCAATGGTTAAGAGCACATACTGCTCTTGGAGAAGACCCAGTTTGGTTCCTAGCCCCCATAGCAAATGGCACACAACTACCTGTAACTACAGGTCCAGGGCATCTGATATGCTCTTGTGATCTCTTTGGACACTTGTGTACAGACTTACATAATTATAAACCTAAAAAGAAAAGAGTCAGATGGGAGGCACAAGCCTGTAACCTCAGCACTTGGGGGGCGGAACCAGGAGGACAGCCAACCTGGGCTACAGAATGAGATTCCAGAAAGCTAAATTCTTTCAGCTTTAAGGTCATATAAAGTTTGATAAATGTGTAATCATTTCTTTTGAGTTTTTAAATGACTTAAAACTTGGAAGCAGAGCAAAGTACATTGGGCAGATTGGTAGTTTCTGTTGTATAACTTTAACATCTTACTAATTTTTTTAATTCAGGTTTGGAATGGGATGACATTTCAGAATGTGTAGACTGGATGGTGCCTTTTGTCAGTGTAGTAAAAAGTGTAAGTCCAGTGAAGCTGAAGACTTTTAAGAAGATACCCATGGAAGACAGACACAATATCCAGACACACACAAATTATTTGGCTTTGCTGGTATGGTTTTTGGTTTTGGGGGTTTATCTAGCTAAGTCCTAGACCTGACAGAGAGGATACTGTGTATCACTACTTTAGACAGTTATATAAGACGATAAAGGGGAAAGTAATAGTCATGCTGATTTTAAAATGTAAAGGAGATTAAAGCAATTAAGGCAGACTTGGTGGCACAGGCCTATAATCTTAGCAATGGGGAGGCTGAGGCAGGAGGATCATGAGTTCATGGGCCACATAGTAAGACTGTCTTAAGAAAAATATTACTCAAAATCAAGACCAGCAGTCCAGATAAGAAATTAAAACATGTTTTTGCTTGTTTTGAGACAGGGCCTTACTGGAATATGCTATGTAGACCAGGCTGGTCTCAAATTCATAAAGCTGCCTCCTGCGTGATAGGATTAAACAACTGGCCTAAGATAGAGACTCTTAAATAGACTTGGATGTCTCAAACAAGTAGATAGATATGTGGTTTCACCTTACTATGTATTTGTTTTATCTTAGCTGTTAATTATTGCATTATTCCTTCATGTGTACAGAATGAAGTAAACTATGTGAACACCTTCAGAAAAGGAGGGCAGCTGTCACCCGTGTGTAATGGCGGCATTATGACACCCCCGAAGAGTACAGAAAAACCACCAGTAAAGCACTGAAGTTAACAACACATTGGAATTGAGCAGATACTGGATAGAGTTCATACAAATGAGTAAGTTTTACATAAAGTAGTGCTTTGGCTGTCCTTGCCCGCTGAGGAGTTACACTGCCATTCTTTTCTTTAAAAACTACATCAATTTGGCACTAAATGCCTAGGATGCATGAAGCCCTGGGTTCAATCCCCAGCACTACAAAGGAACAAAACAAAAAAACTTCAAAAAAAGATTGGCACTAAAGAAATTTCCTCTAGCTGTTTAAAAGAAAAGAGGACTTGTTTACAGAGGTGGCTTCACTCCCAAGGACAGTGGATAGAAGCCAGCAACAATTTATGCTGTAGCAGTTGTTTGTTTCTGTGTTTCTTTAAGTTCCTGTGTTACTGTGTTTCTCTTGATAAACTAGGAATTTTATCATTGGAATATGGACAAAACTAGTGCTACTTAAAAGATGTATTAGCTGACACAGAACTGTGAATCTAGATTTTAGATTCTTAAATCCCTATACTCTTGAATGGTGCAATTTGTCTTTTGAAAATGAAATTTAAACTTATTTACAAAGATTGTTTTGTAATAAAGTGACTAATTTATCTGAAGTTGTTTTGTAACAAACAATGATAAAACTTGAATTTTTACAAATGGTGAAGTTCAATCTGTTTTTAACTAGTCTGTTTGCCTTGCCATCGTATTTCTTAATCAGTAAGGCATTGAACCAAATGTTTAAACTGTGCTCTAAACGATGGGAGAACCAAAGAAATTATAAACAAGATAAATGCTTTGGCTTCTACAGGGGTTTTACTTCATCTAAGGGTTGCTTTATAGTCTTTTTATATCACAATCTGGGTAAAACTTTAATGCCTTTTCAAACTATATAAGAAAGTCACTTTATTACACTAAGCTACCCCTAAGCATTTTTGAAATGTAGTATGACTGAGGCTTTATGTTTGCAAAACTGGCAGTCCATTTTTAAGTCCCATATTATGAGGACTGTGTCGACATGGAAAGACTGAGCATGTGACCTAAACTTCTATTTTCTATGGCAGAAAAAATATTAAATGTATACTGACTCCTAGAAATCTATTTATTTAAACTTGCTGTATATAGAATAGCTACTTATGCATTAAATATTTTAAGTTAGCCTTTGAAAAGGAAATTTGGGCCTAAAAAAGTCAATTTCATTAGACAAAAGTGATACCAGATTGCCAGGTTACCAGACATGTGAACCCTTTCTCTCTTTGAAGAAATTGTAAACTTTTGTTAATGCGTGAAGTTTTTGTATAGTTTTTGTCTGAAAAGAAAACACCACTAAATTGTACATATGTATTATATAAACTTAATCTTTTAATACTGTTGTTTACTTTTAGCCCATGTTTAAAAAATAAAAGTTTAAAAAATTAACTAACTGTTTAAAAGTAAAGTTTTGCCATTGCTTGTAGAAACTTCTTTTTCCTTCTCTGTGCTGCCAGCTGTAATACTTCCTCAGGGTTGCTTGCATTCAATTCTGTTTGGCCAATGGCTTTGATCTGAAAACAGAAAAGTGTTATAAGTCTTCCCAGTAGTACACATAAGTCAGAGTTAAAAATACCTAAATCAAATTTTAAAATTTAAGAGCTACAGAAAAAATAATGTAACTACTGCATCCACCTACTAAGATTTAGTTTATACTTATCTGAAGGACATTTTATTACATTAAATAAATTCCTGTATGCTTATGGGTGAGCAGGAGAGGAAAAGTAGATGGAAGAGGCTAATGGGGGGTGGGGGTGGGTCCGTCACAAACCCACACAGAAACAAGGAAGTCAGAAGAGGCTATGGGCAGAACGGGTTATAGTAATAAGACCATGGAAAAGCACTTGACAGTAAGAACAGTATAGATAGCTGGCACAGAGTAAAAGTAGTAACTAAAACTGGCTGAGAGACCTCTAATGTGGGGATAAGAGATAAGCCTATACCTGTGGATGCATGTAGAAGAGTCAGGCGGCTAAATGGATATGTAGTTAGAAGCCTTAAAATAATATAGTTGGGGGTCAGGAGCATTTAGTAAGTAGAGGCTAATGATCTCTGCATCTGAAGCCAGCCTGATCTTCACAGTGAGTTCAGGCCCCCGAGGGTTACATAGTAAAAGACTGTCTCAGAAAATTAAACAAAGACATCATGGGCTATTGCTAAATTGCCCTTGGCTGCCTCCCAGAGATGGAAGGTAAGTAAGTACCTATTATTGCTGAAGACGTGATATACTTCAGACATAGGGCCCAGAGTCTCCTGACCTGGAGTTGATCTGAAAGCCTCATGGGGACTAGCTAGGTATCAGAAAGCAACATTCAACCTTCCAAAGTAGCAACAGTCCTGCTTAGCTATGACACCTATGAACCACCACAACCACCAGTGTGGCTCAATAAACCCAATAGTGCAGTAGTATCACTCATACCTTGGTGGTAACCAACAGCTCTCTAATTGGACCTAAGACCTATTCAACAAGAGGGAAACCATGCCTCGTACAGGAAACCTATCCAACTACCCAGGGCTATTGAAATCCTGGATCTTGAACCACTTTACAGCATAATCCCTAACTAGATTCTAAACATCTGTCCTTATACCCACAGGTAAGTGTAGTCCTCACTCCTCAACAAGAAAACTTCTCTTTGCACCACACAGAAACCATTACAGAAAACCTCAACTGATCAAAGTACAGAGTTCTGAAGCCCAGTCACAACAGATATATCTACAGAATAACTCCCACACTTAAGGCTCAGAGATCATTTCAGAAGAGGAGCTTTAAAAATTTTAAAAACCAGAGGGTAAGGGAGTTTGCTGTGAGATGGCATCTCCTAGGAGTGTCAGAAGCCCGTAAACACTAAGTGAACTGAACAAGGACAACGGACATGCTGAAGTGGACAGGGGAAAGCTTACAAGTCCTTAATCCTAACAGTGGGAGAAATAGTCCAGGGAAGAGCCCCCAACTAGTTACAAGTTATTGTATATACACACATATATGTATGTAACAATTAACCTTTTTTTAAAAAATGGCCATGAATTTGAGAAAAAGAAGGGTATATGAGGAAGGCTTGGAGGAAAGGGAAGGGAAAAATGCTATACTCTCAAATGTTTTATTTTTTTAATGATACAGTATAAAAATACTAAGGGAACACTAAGAATATTGCCTTCCAGGCTCAGCTAAATTAGGAATGAGAGAGCAGAAGCAAGATGGCTCGCTCATTGGTAAAAGTGCTTGCCATGTAAGCCCAAAATTGAACACTGAACTCTACATGTATACTATGATACACACACGTCTACATTCACACATGATATACATGCACTAATAATAAAAAGGAAACATAAAAGGGGCTGGGGAGATGGTTCAATAGGCAGTGTTTGCCATTCAAGCCTGACTTGAGTTCAGGTTCCCAGACCACCATAAAGGCCAGCCACAACAGTACACACATCTGTAATCCCAGCATGTTCCTATGGAGAGGCGGCAAGTGAAGACAATTCCTAGAAGCCTTCAGACCCATTGGTCTAATGGACCCAGCAATGAACAAAAGACACTGTTCCAAGGTAGAAGGCAAGGATCAACGCCAAGGGTTGTCCTGACCACCACATATGCATCACAGCACATGTGTGCCCACACTTAAACACTACAAACACAATGTATACACATCATTAAAAGGGAAGAAAGAAATGGGAGAAAGTATGGCATTCAATCAATTGGGCTAACTTCATGTTCTTTATTTCACTATTTTAGGGTGTTAAAAATCTGTTTCATCTAAATAGTCATATAACTTCATCTGAGTACATCTTAAAAGGTACTAAAAGCATCTACATTTATTAATGAGTAAAAGCAAGAAAAGATCTGCAGTAATACTGATTTACTCCATGTAATGAGTGTGAAATTTTAAACATCAGGCCAGTGTGGTGGTTTGAAAGAAAATGGTTCCCATAAGCTTACAGGGAGTGGCACTATCAGGTGTGGCCTTTTGGAGTGGATGTGGTGTATTGGGGAAAATGTCACTGGTGGTGGGTTTTGAGGTCTCAGAAACTCAAGCCAGGCCCAGTGTGGCACTCTTCCTGCTGCTTGCAGATCCAGACGTGGAACTCTCAGCTACCTCTCCAGCACCATGTCTACCTGTATGCCACCATACTTCCCACCATAATAATAATAATGGACTAAACCTCTGAACTGTAAGCCAGTCCCAATTAAATGTTTCCTTTGTAAGAGCTGCTGTGGTCATGGTCTATCTTCACAGCAATAAAGCCCTAAGACAGATAGCAAGATGGTTGGGGGGTGGGGGAGTAAAACAGCTTGCTGCCAAACCTGATATCCTGAGTTTCAATCTTTGACATAATCTCACATAATAGAAAGAGAGAACAGACTAATGCAAGTTGTCCTCTGACCTTTAGAATACACACACAGAAACGTGAGGAAAAAAAAAAGACGAGTCAAATTCAAATAGATTACTTATTCAGTAATTGCTGGGGACCATTCTAGTTACCTATGAACAAGCCAAGTCCTGACAGAATAGTAAATATATAACATGTCCAATGTTGGTGAGTGTTACAGAGAAAAACTTTAGAAGGAGAATGAGAATAAGAAGAGTAACGGGCTGGAGAGATGGCTCAGAGGTTAAGAACACTGGATGCTCTTCCAGAGGTCCTGAGTTCAATTCCCAGCAACCCACATGGTGGCTCATAACCATCTACAATGAGATCTGATGCCCTCTTCTGGCCTGCAGGCATACATGCAGACAGAACACTGTATACATTATAAATAAATCTTTAAAAAAAAAAAAAAAAGAGTGACAGGGTGGTAGGAGGCATGTTAGTCTGTAAGATATCCAGGGAAGGCTAACCACTGAAACAGCAAAGCCAAGACCAGAAGGAACATGAATGTTCCTGGATAAGAAAATGCCAAAGGTCCCTGGAGAATTACTGTTCTTGACATATCTGAACAATAGTGGGGATATTTGTACTGATGTTAAGCAAAGGGGAAAACCAAGTCAGCAAGCCACTGTAAGGATCCTGTGAGATGAAAAACTGCCTGAAGATTTAGACCAGATATATACAATGCTCTATCTAATATTTTAAAGTCAATAAACATTACAAGTAAATAATGATAACTAAATTCTGGCAGTAAATGGGCAAACACAATCTTTGCTCAATGGCACAACTCTAAATTGTTTAATATTCTGAAAACATCACTGAAGAAAGGTGTAAGGCAACTTACAGCAATCTGTCTTTTATCTGTTTCTCCTCTTTTATGATGAAGATCTAAATGTGTCAGTTAAGAAAAATAAAACTGATATTATATCTTGATGGGATCTCAACTCTTTGAGGCTGGGGAGGTGGTTCAGCATGTAAAGGAGCTTGCTGCCAAATCAGATGACCGGAGCTCAACCGTCAAGACCCATATGGCAGAAGAAAAAGGACTTCAAGGTTGTCCGCAGTGTGTGTGATATTCACACACTGTGGAATATGTACACACACACAATCATATTTGTAATATATTTTTAAAATTCCAAACTCTTTCTACTTTAGCTTGGAAAATATGTTCCACAATTTTTTTTTTTTTTTTTTTTTTTTTTTTGAGACAGGGTTTCCTTGTGTAGCCCCAGCTGTCCTGGAACTCAGAGATCCGCCTGCCTCTGCCCACTAAGTGCAGGATTAGAGGCGTGCACCACCACCGCCTCTGGAAAGACTTTAAATTACAGACATGAACTGCTGTGCTGTCACAAGCACTGATGGAAGGATACAAGTCAAGTACTCCAAGATAGTGACATCCCAAATGTAGTCATAGTAGGAGTCCATAGCGTCATGGCTGCAAAACAGAATCGCATTACTAATGCAAAAAAGCTTCAGCTTCATGTTTAAAAAAAAAACAAAAAAACATCCCATACCTGTTTTGTTCCTGCAATGACTTGAAGGCTGTCTTGTAGTCAATTTCTCTGAGGAACTGACATAAAATTGCCACCTACATAAACAAATATTTGAAAAAGGTAACATAAGCCTGGTTTGAGAGTAATTTTTATTTTTATTTTTTTTTCAATTTATCTTATTCTATGTCGGTGAGTATTTTGTCTACACGTACATCTGAGCACCACATGTGTGCCTGGGGCCTGCAGAGGCCAAAAGACGGCATAGGATCCCCCAGAACTGTCAGGCGGTGGTGGAGCACACCTCTAATCCCAGCACTTGGGTGGCAGAGGTAGGTGGATCTCTTGAGGCCAGCCTGGTCTACAAAGAGTTCCAGGACAGCCAGGGCTGTTTATTATACAGAAAAACACTGTCTTGAAGAAACAAAAAAAGATACCCCAGAACTGGAGTTACAGATGGCTATGAACTGACATGTGGGGGCTGGGAACTGAACCCAGATCCTCTCCTCTGGATGAGAAGCCACTGTTCCT